CCTGCGACAGTGACATGTGACACTGATTGTCTTTTCTGCTCCATCATTTTCTTATCATCTTTGGAGAAATGCCTAGCCAAGTTACCCCACCCCTACCCCGTGGTGTGTACATGTGTGTGTAGAAGTGTGTGACTGTGTGCACCCGCACCTGCATTCAGAGTAAGGTGTTGGGTATTCTCCTTTATCCCTCTCCACTGTATTCCTTGAAACAGTCTCTCTTCAAACTTGTTGGCCGACAAACCCAGGCATCCTGTCCCTGCTCTGCCCTCCATATTGCTAGGGTTAGAGGAGCACATGAAACCATGCTCAGATTGTTACATGGGTGTTGGCATCTGAACTCAATTTCCTGGGGTTGTACAGCAAGCCCTCTTAAGTTGGGAGAGCTCTCCAGCCCATTTCCTTTGTTTTTTAAAGAAACACTTAGTTGGTGTTATGATCAAACCAGTGCAATTCACAATAAACTGACTAAATGAAAAAGGCCAAAGTTAAAACACTTCGTTGGAGGCTGGGTGATAGGTGATGGTGGTGCACACCTTTAATCCTAGCACTTGGGAGGCAGAAACAGGCAGGTCTCTATGAGTTTGAGCCCAGCCTGATCTACAGAGCTAACTCTAGGACAGCCAGGGCTACACAAAGAAACCCAGTCTCAAAAAACCAAACCAAACCCAACCAACTAACTAACCAACCAAACAAACAAACAAACACACAACCAGACAAACAAATAAACCAGAAACAATTTGTTAGAGAGCTTCATGCTTCCCCCAGAACAGAAACCAAATAACCTGTTACACAGACAGTCACTGCTTCTGTCCTGAGTTCACAATCTGCTGTCACCTGTGGCTTCCCTGTCACATCTCTGGCCCTGCTGTCCTACTAGGCTGTGCTTCCTAGCAGTGGTTAAAGCCTTCTGCCCCTGCTGTAGCAATGCACTGCTGGGCCCCATCACAGCCACCTTAGTTTCATAGTTTGGCAAAGAGTTAAGAACTTCCACACCACAGAGACAAAGCTCCTGCCTCCAAATTCCTTCATGGGTCCAAAATCTGAAGACTGACATGTGTGATTTCCAACCTCTATAGGTGTTGCCACCTACACAGTTGCTGCCACTACCATTGCAAACTTCCTCTCTGCCCCCCCATTGTTAAAGCCATTCCTACCATAGCCCCACCCACCACTACCATAGCCTCTGCCTTCTCCAGAGTAACCAGGATTGCCTCCCCCATAACCGCTGTCATTACCAAATTCATTAGAGCCGCCACCACCGCCATCATATCCACCAACACTATGGTCACTAAAGTTTCCTCCATGACCACTATTGTCATTGTTACCCAAGGTGCCTCCACAACCACCACCAGAGTTTTAAGAACCACGTGGTTCTACATGAAGCACTGGCCATCTCGGGTATGAACAGGATTCACTTCTCAACTTTTCTTGCTTCTCATTGTGGCAGCGACTATCAAGGTATTCACTCACAGTGTGACATTTCTGAATGACAGCCTTGTCCCCAGAGTTGTGGTCCTTGGAGGTGATGAGCAATGCTGTTTCTTCCCCTGATGTCTGTCACAATTCCAGTTATTTCACTTTCTCTAGCTGTGCAAAATAGTCTCCAGGTGGCTTTCCTCAGTGGTGGGCAGGGTGATGGCTGGCAGGTCAGTGGCAGAGGTGGCTGAGGTGTCTTTGGATGTGATCATAGAAGGAAAGACCTTTCCCACAGTTAATTATTGCCTAGTCTTTGAGAAGCTTCTGTCAGTTGTCTCTGATCTCCCTGTTATTTTATGCACATTGTGTGGCCTTACATTCATGGCTTTGTTGACCAGTTGCCCTGTGGCAGTGAGTGTTCTCTGTGGTTCCTCAGAATTTCAGAGCTGGTTTACAAGCCCTGCTCTCCAATAAGAGCTTGCTTCCGTACCTGTCCAGGCTCTTTAGGAGCCTGTGTAGACCTGACAGCAGGGATATGAGAGCTTTCAATAACACCTTCTCAGCCTCATCCACAGGCAGAAAGTGCTGTCCCTTTCTTATCTGGGCTCTGTCTTATTGCATGGCAGCTGTTCTTTACATATTTTGGATCCCATGCCCTTACTGGATCTATGACTGGAAAGCTGTCTTCCCCTTCTTCAACTTGTCTTCTGAGCCTCCTCCTGTGCCCTGTAATGAACGGGAGCTTTTGGTGGGTCTTGACGAACTTGGCTTGCGATTGTGCCTCTGTTGCTTATGGTTTGGCTGTCCAATCTAAGTCTCCATCTGGGCTAACAAGGCCTTTCTTCAAGACCTTCTCTTGACAGTCCTGCTGTTTTGGATCTTGTAGTTAGGTCTTCTGTCTGCTTATGGAATCCTTGGACTTGAGTGTTCACGGCATTCACTGACATGCAAAGAGGAGTGAGTGGCCATACTTCACAAATCAGATACACTCAGGCAGCCACTACTCCAGCTAGGACCACAAACACACCCAGCCTCTGTGTACTTTCTCCAGCGCCACAGGATAGTCACCACCCTCTGACTATGTAGACTTCCTCTCACTTGAACTCTGATAAACCTGGGTCCCACTCTCTGTGCTGGCTTTTCTTCCTTGCTGTTTAGACAGTCTGCATCCTCTGTGTTCTTTGTTCAGTGGATTCGAGTTGAGGGGACATGTGAATATGTGATCTGCCCCTGGAGTCCAGGGGTTCCAGGTAGGGTTGGGAGCCCGCAGGCCCAGGCTGGGATGTGTGCACTTGGGGTCTACTGGGCTTCTATTCCAGTTTTGCCATCTGCCTGCCCACCAAATGACCTTGCTCAAGTCCCCACTACCCCCATGGCTCTTAGGACAGTGAAGGCTGTAATGTGTTATATAAAGGACTGCCATTGAACTGACCCTCTAGTATGTGTGGAACTGAGTGGTGTGTGTATGCAGCATGGCAAGCCACAGGGATGGCAACAGCTGATTTGGAGGGAAATACAGTCTGTTGTCTCTCTGTCTCTGTCTCTGTTTCTCTATGTCTCTGTCCCTCTCACCCCCTCTCTCCAATGTGTTTATATCTCTATGTATGCCATGTGTGTCACATGCCTGAAGCCACGTGTGTGGCAAGCTTGAAGAAGACACAGGATAACATTGAGCTAGACTTAATTGTGAGCTCTCCGACTTGGGTTCTGGGAACCGAGCTCAGGTCCTCTGGAAGAGCAGTAAGCTCTCTTAACCACTGAGCCATCTCTACAGCCCTGAACCTAGTGTCTCAGAAACTGTTTCCACAAGTGTTCTATGTCCCTTTAAATTCACAAATGCATACAGGGCCTGTTTACCTTGGGGCTGTCACAGACCTGCTGGGAGAAGTTGGGAGTGGAGGAGGACAGGAAGGTCACGAACTGGGGAACATCAATTCTGGCAATCAGCTGACTTTTCTAAAAATACCGAGTGGTTTTCAACCTTTGGTCAGAACTCAAAACACAGTGCTCCCCTGCCCACTCACTGTGATGTATATTGTAATCACCAAAATGACCCAGACCCTTACCCTGTCATTCAGACTGGCACTGAGTGTGACCACTGTCCATGAGGCAGTTCAGTCCTGGAAGGGCCCAGGCACCACCCCTGACAGCAAAGCTCAGTGTGTCCTGGGAGGAAGAAGGCTGGACCCTCACCAAGCAGTAAGGAATGGGTGTGACCACTGTCCATGAGGCAGTTCAGTCCTGGAAGGGCCCAGGCACCACCCCTGACAGCAAAGCTCAGTGTGTCCTGGGAGGAAGAAGGCTGGACCCTCACCAAGCAGTAAGGAATGGGTGTGACCACTGTCCATGAGGCAGTTCAGTCCTGGAAGGGCCCAGGCACCACCCCTGACAGCAAAGCTTAGTGTGTCCTGGGAGGAAGAAGGCTGGACCCTTACCAAGCAGTGAGGAATGGATCTGAAGGGATGAGATGAGGGGGAGACTCCTGTGAAGGAGGTGGCTTTGGGAGGAAACAGGGCCATTTGGTGAGACTGGGAGCTCCAGAGGAACCCAGGTGGCAGAGGTAACATGAACAGGGCCTGGACTGGGGTCAGCTGCCATGTATGGGGTCTCTCTTCTCGGCCTTGAGAATCCCTTGGCCCAAGACATGAGCATGGGTGGGGGCTGAGTTGACAGCCAGGAGAAAAGTGGCAGAGCAGCCGACAAGGCCCACACGGGAGAGATTCTAGATTCTCTTTTCCCGTATGCAGGGGCCTTGGCCTAGATTTTCAAGGGAAAACAGGCAGAGGTAGGGAGTGAGGTAAGGTACTCTGAGCACCCCCCTCTTATTCAGGAAGGTGCCAATTAAGATTCCAGTTCAGAAGCAGGCGTGGAGCCTCTTCCCATTTTAGGATGCTGTGAGACACGGTCTTCATCTTTCACATTTAGCTGCAGGCCCACCTGCGGCACCCTGGCAACAGCATTCACTGCTGAGGATAGTGGAATCAGCACCTTAGGACTTGTTTTTTTGGCACCATGTAGAAGTAAGCCAGATGCAAGAAATTACAATTAGTGTAATCTATTTATTGTTTTAGGATTAAAATTTGTAATCTAATTTAATGGTTTTTAAAGAATTACCAAACTAGAAAGTGTCAATTGAGAGGATTGATGAGCACGGAGATAGAAAAACAAAACAAAACAACCCGAAACTATCCTCGCTGTCCCCATCACCAGAGAAATGAAGTTGTCTCCTCTCACCCCCAATCCTTGCTCCCACCTCTTGCCCCCCCAGGACATGCAGAGGTGAAGGGACCAGACCCTCATTTGACACTGACCTGTCCACAGTCACACCCAGGAGTGGGTCACTGCCCATCTGGTCTCCCGAGATCAAGGATCAGGCGGGCGGAGCTAGGTCTCCCAGCCTTTGGACAGGCCCTGGATGCCCTGGGCGCCCCCTGTCGAGCTTGTGCAGATCTCTGCTCCCAGTAGCTGCCGGGCCTTCGGTGGGCTCACTGTGCAGGTTTCCCAGACGTGTGCACAGGGCAGACGCCATGGCATGGTGGGTATCCGTTGCAGTAGCGGCTCTCACCTGCTTTGTGTTTCCCCAGGCGGGGGAGAAGCACTACCACCCCTCGTGTGCGCTATGTGTCAGGTGCGGCCAGATGTTCTCAGAGGGCGAGGAAATGTACCTGCAAGGTAAGCATTTGGATGTGCCTGTTGCATACTGTGCCGGGGGGGGGGGTGGTGGTGAGGTGTGGGTGGTGAAGTTGGTCCTAGTGCTGCTAGGAGCTGGCACTGTCACACACACATACAGACTGTGATCTCCACTGAGGGTGTCAGTAAATCTGAGGGAGAGAGATCAGGCTACCAATGAGACGGCTGTGAGGTCCCGCCACTGCCCGTCAGGCCTCATTCCCACTCGAGGACTCAGGGACTTTCAGTCGTGCCCCACCGGAGCCTTGGCCTGTGGTGCCCCTGTCGCACGACAGCAAGGCCAGAGTGCCTTCCTGAAGTGTGGGAAAGAGCAGCCTTTGTAGCACTGGCAAAGGAAAATTGGGAGAAAGGAACCTTCGAATGCTTTCACCGGAACCCTACCCACTGACCATTAAAACTCCTATTAACAGGGCCAGTGAGGTGGTTCGATGGCTGGAGGCCCTTACTGCACGAACCTGGTGGCCTGAGTTCCACCCCCGGAACCCAATAAAGGTGGAAAGGGAGAGCTGACTCTAGAAACTTGTCCTCTGACCGTCACACATGTGCCACCATACATCCCTCCCCACGATAAAATGAAAATAAATCACAATAACAGTGTCAAGATGGAAAATGACAGTGACGTAGCCTAGCCACCTTCGTGGCTATGTGTCTCATTTTAGAATCATGCAATGTTTCATTCCCTAAAATAGGTTGAGTGGTCCACAGCCGAGCAGAGGACGTGGCGGTGTAGACCTAATGAAGCCGCAGATGGCAGGGATGCGGTGGCGTTGCCAGGTCACTTTGCCTCCTGGCAGTGTGGGAGACAGAGCAACCACTGAAGGTGGCTGCAGGTCACGCAGGCACTTAGGAGCTTGCCAGCCTACCAGGCCTGCCGGAGAGGTTAATGCCTGCTCCCATTCAGCCCTGGTTCTTAGAAAGCTGAAGAGGCAGCGTGGCTTCATCTCAAGGCTCTACTGGGGATGACGTGATTGGGCCCCAGCTGTTCTGTTGGGGCCTGTTGCAAGAGCTTGGTCCGAAGCCATAGCCTCAGCAATTGTCTTCACTGGACAGTGTAGTGATGGAGAGGATTCCATGGAACTCCTGGGGCTGGAGACCGAGCCAGGCTTCACTGTCTCTTCCCAGATGAGCCTTTCACATAGGCTTCATGGCTGCTATTAAATTCCAATGGTAGCATTCAGAGCTCCCTCATTTCTCTCCTATTGGTGGAAAGCAGAGCCGGGGAGGCAGTGGCCCTTGTAGAGGAGGAAATGCGGTTTTCTCCTCACCCTTCCTAGCTTAGCGGGGACCCCTGTGATGGAAGGTGGGCGAAAGAGAAAAGGGCAGAGAGAAGCTTGTGAATGAGTGTCCCTCATGCACACGCAGGAGAGAGAGGATGGCTGCATCTCCAGGGTGACTCTCAGAAGGCAGCTCTGATTTCTGGCTGACATACTACTCTCTTAGCCATGAGAGAAGAATATCGGGAAGAAGTCAAACGGAGGAAGGAGACCTTGGGTGTGAATGTGTGTGGATGAGGGGGGGGTCTTTCTGCTGCAGGTGCTAAGCGCACCCCCCCAGTGATGGGACCCCTGGTGACTCAGTCTCCCCATCTACCAGCTGAAGACATATGCTCATACACAGAAAACTCTATACAGATCTAAATTTCCCCTTTGCAGTGAGTGGCCTCCTTTCTGTTGTATCATTCCTGAGTTTTCCATGTCCTCCTCAGGTATCCAGCTCAAAGTGAACTTTCTGCCACAGGAAACATGGGTGTCACATGCTGCTGCCTGGTCAAATGTTGGGGTAGTTGATCTCAAGAGAGAAACTACTTTATCCTAGTTTCATTTCTGATGTTGTGATAAAGTATCCCGATCAAAAGCAGCATAGAGGAGGAAATGGCTAATGTCTCATAATTTCAGGTTTGGGTCATTATCGCAGGGAAGTCAAGGCAGGAACTAGTCTCATCCACAGTCAAGATCAGAGAGAAACAAATGCATGCATGCTGCCTGCTTGCTTAGTACGCAGTTAGCTACCTCTGCTCTTATGCAGTCCAGGGCACAAAGCCAGGGAATGATGTTGCCCATGATGGGCTGAATCATCTTACATCAATTAAAATTTAAGACCAGCCTGATGTAGACAGCTCCACAAGTGAAGGTCTTCTCAGATGAGTTTAGGTTGTGTCAAGTTGACAGTGAAAACTAACCAGTATGCGCATCTAGGGTGGGGATCCTCACTGAAAGCAGGGCAAGGAAATGTCACAAGACAGCAAGGGTGGCCAGGCACCTGGGGGGAAGGAGTGTCAGTGAATTACCTTGCATTATTATGCCTAAAACTGGGCTAAATAGGCCCAAAACAGGGGGAGCAGAGGTCAAGGACTGAGGCAGAGGCCACAGCCTAGTCTGGACTGGAGTTTAATCAAGGAACAAGAAACCTGTGTCTCCCACTTCCCACTGAGTGCTGGGGTTGGATAGGTGAGGCAGGTCAGCCCGCCCTCCAGAGCAGCTAGACAGAGGGAGCTAGTGTGAGGCCAAGCTATCCCAGATACACCAGCAGAAGGCTGGGAGTGCTGCTTGGAGAGAGGAGGTGTGGACAGGGCTTGACTTGCCCGTGGTGAGAGACTGGAGGCTGCAGGATGAATAGGTGAATAGAAAAACAGAGCGCCTGTCAGGAGCCTACGTTCAAGCTGAAGGTGACAGAGGATTGAGTCGTCAGCCTGGTGAACTGGTCCTTACCAGACTGGATGCCGCAAGAGGAGAGAGCTCACCCCTGCTCACCCTTTAGCCCCTGCTCAGGGCTAGCAGAACAGACAGAAGCAGGAGGCTTGAGTGGCTTGGCTTTACCTGGAGCACATGACCAAAGGACACCGGGATGAGTGGGCGGTGGTGGTGGGGGCAAGGACCAGCAATTGAGTGGGCATGATCAGTGGGCCAAGTGAGGATGGCCTTGTGTTGGTATTTCATCTCTTTGGCAACTTACTCTTTCTCCTGGGGTCCCGGGGCAGCTGAGCAGGGCTGGGCAGGGGACAAAGCTGGTGGTAGCAGCTGCATCTGTTGCGTTCTGACTACAGTCTGGCGCTGAGTAACCACAGAGAGGCCTTCCAATCTGTGTGTCAGACAGGCCTCCCTTTTCTGAGGCGAGCCCTGGCTGGGGATGATGTCAGATGTGTCGGTCTCATCCCCACTGTCGCCTGTTGTTCCCAAGGCGAGGTCCTGAGAGTCAGGCCAGCCACTGCGGCTGCCTTGTGGGAGGCCCTCTGCAGAGGCTCCACTGTAAATGTAAATGGAGCCCTTAAACAGAGGGGCAGCCGATGCCAAGCACGGCTCACTGGGATAGTGGCTTGGGGACACGTGCTCACACGAAGTTGTCCTCATCTCAGGACACAAAGATTCCCTTCACGAGTCTGGGCTGGTCCAACCATTGCAGGGGGACCTGCCAGGACTTCCTGTGTACATGGAGTCCAGGCTGCACGCTCAGATATGGGTTTTCCACGCTGCAGTGAGGGTCCGATCAGCCTATGGGCACTTATTTGTGCTCTCTGGTGAGCTAAAGCCTATGGCCAGAGCCCTTGCGTGGTATACCACCATTTCCGGCCACCCAGAGGCCTTCCGCTTGGCTCCTCACACCGACTCTCCATGAAGGTGGTGTCTGGCAGGTTGCCAATACTGTGACCAGAGCGCTGGTCAGTGTGGGTCCTGTGACTTTCATGTTGTACTGGCCATGAGAACTTCTTCCCCACCCCTGCCTCCGAGAGCACCCCTCTGGGCACCCTAGTCTGGGCAGTGTGCCCAGGCTCCCTGGAACCCACAGGAGTAATCTGCGCACATTAGAAAGTTCTCTCATTTCCCTCATGTCTTTACCTCACACGAGGCAAGCTACTAGAGCTCAGGTGCTCTGGTCTCAGTGCCGCAGAGAGGTGTGGAGCCTGTTTGGAGGGTATTGAACAGGTATTCATGCGTGGATGCCACACCCAGAACTACTCCTTGACCTCTTCCTCTTGGGAATCTGTCCACAGGCTCCTCCATCTGGCACCCTGCATGTCGGCAAGCAGCCAGGTCTGAAGACAAGAGCAAGGTTGGTGAGATTTGTGGCTTCCTGGTGTGGTCTCCACATGCAGGTTAGAGGGGGAGGTGCAGGCCAGCCTACTCATGCTTCTCAGCCAGACCACGGAGGCATCGCAGGACAGCCAGACTCAGGGGACGGAGGGTCACGAGGTGGGAAGGTAGATAGGTTAATGAACCATTATGCAGGTCTAATGGGCCTCGAGGACACCAGATGGCCCAGCCCTGCTGCCATCCTTGTCCAGTCAGTGAACACAGATGGCCATGGCAGTTTGGGGGATCCCAAATAGTTCCTATGGTCATCAGAACTTTTATGGATCCAAGTTGTGCCTGGGCTTGACAGTTCCCACACCCTCACCGAGAGCTGGCCTACCAGGCATAGGACAAGTTGTTGAGGGCAGAATTGTCCAAACACACAGTAAATCCCAGTTCAGAACTTCTTGTCCCTATGGAGACGGTCATGTCACCCTCCTGCACATGCAGGACAAGGCACATAGAGCATTGCCAACCAGGCAAGCTCCATGCTTGAGTTTTTACTGGGGCTCCGGCAGGGAGGAGTGTGACTCTTGGAGCCCGCATGTCAGGTCAACTGACCCGCTGCAACCCGAGGCTCTTGTCCTAGAGTGTAGGTTGGCCTTCCTAGCACGGCCACTATACCCTGAGATGATCAGGTGTGGCCAGCCCTCACTGAACACAGCTGCTGCTCCCAGGAACTGAGAGCAAAGGTCAGCCTCTAGGAAGGGATGGGTTCTGAACCCCACAGATGTCCTGCTGTGTGCCAGGCACCAGGATTATGGTCTAGAGATGAAGAGAGAATAGCCACCCTGGATGGGAAGGAAGCACAGCATTCAGAGGGTGCGCTACAGCCTGTGCGGAGCTCAAAGGCTGGCCCTGGGAGCCGCATGGGAGTGTTTCCAGGGTGGCACCTTCTTTCTTGGGTAGTTAAGGTACAGGGAAGAAGGAGGAGGGGAAGAATGGACAGGAGGGGGAGGAGGGGGAGAAGAGCATAGGAGGAGGAAGAGAAACAGGAGAATACGCAGGCAGCAGGGAGGAGCACAGAGGTCAGGGAGGCGGTGGCTAGGGGGCGCTGTCCAGATCCTCTCAGCAGCCCTGCCTTTGGCTGTGGGGTGCTTAGTCCCCCCACCCCGTCTCCCCTCCCTGAGACTCTGCATTACTCTGCCTCATTGCGCTGCATCCTATTAGTCTTTGCTGTGGCTTTTCAGATGGGAGGTCAATGAGCAATAGCACATTGTATTCACCAATGGCTGATTCTGCAAACTGTGCATCTGCCACTCAGGGCATCCCTGCCCTCAGTCATGATCTGTGGAGATGTGACCATAGAGCCTGACACCATCTTGTCTGCAGGGTCCTCTATACTGCCCAACTGCTCAGCAGAAGGAAGGGTCCTGGCATGTCCCGAGGCCCTGGATACACTCTCACGCATGCATGTACCCAGGGAAGCAACATGACCCGAGTCTGAGCTAGCTGACACACTGCTCTCCTCCCCTCCCTTCCCCCAGTCAGGTTCAAGGGCCAGGCAGGGTCGCCCATGCCCCACACCAGCTGCAGAGGACAACAGCCTTCCTCATTTTCTCTGGTCCCTGGCCAGATGGAAGGCCCGAGGGGTGGGTGCTGCCAGACCAGGGACTAAAGCAGCCTTCCTTTCCTGGGCTTGTATAGGAGGGTTCTACATCTAGGACTCTGTGGTCTGTACAGCTATTGAACAAGTAGTTAGCATGAATGTTGTTTCCTTCAGTCAATGTTTGGGGCAGAGCCTGGGCATCCTGAGAACAGCTGCTTCTTGGTGTTGAGCCCGGGATCCCCAGGATTGGATGCTGTCTGGTCTGGCCTGGGGGTGGAGGGGACAGACTCCTGCACTCTGTTGTTCCTCATGTGAGCAGCCCTTGAATAAGTGAAGCCAGGTAGGTCTGGCTGGCTTAAGAAGTCTTCTGTCCCTGAGACACAGTATATAGGTGGCACCTGTGTTATCGACTCTTGAAACCTGCCACTGAGTGGAAGCAGCATCTCCTGTCTATACAGTGACAAGAAATGGCTTCCCTGTCTTGGGCTTAATAGTCACCATAACAAGTGCCCCTTGGTGTGGGACCTTGGGCATCTCCAGGACACTCAGGGAACTCATTCTCCATTAAAACCCCCCTAGCTCCTGACTGGCTTATCCGTGCAGGGCCAGGTCAGCAGGAAGAAACACAAGCCTTCCTTGCTGTCTCGAAAGCCACCCAAGTCCTGTAGCTCTCCCCCCTTCACCCAGGCAGGGAGTATGTTGTGGACAAGGGCCAAGGTTACAGGGTCCTAAGCATCTGGAATAGGTGCAGTGGACTTCAGGAGATGCAGTCATGACTTTCTGGATCCACAGGCATCTTTAGCATAGCACAGCACCCAACACCCACAAGCATCATGGCATCCTTAGCACACCACCCAATGCCCACAGGCATCACGGCATTCTTAGTAGAGCACCTGGCCTCCACTGTGTGTTTTAGAACTTCTGTACCTGGAACTTGGGAGAGGGCAGTGAATGAGGCCTGTGGACTCCCTTCAAGTTCCAGGTCCTATTCTTATCTCTGTGGGTGGGGACAAGGCGGTGACACAAGCCTTGGGGAGCATGGCACTGAAGTTCACTGTGGAACAGACATCAGGTCAGGGATGGCAGATGGGGCTGGAAGGTGCCCATCTTCTCACCCTGGTGGCAGGGGCCTTACCTTTTCTCCCCGTCTCCTCTGCTGACGGGTTCTGTCCTCTGCCCTCCCCCACCCAGCTGGTAACTGAGTACAAGGAGGGCTTGCATCATTTCTGCTCCGAGTGGCCAGAGCCCGCAGCACAAAGAGCACAAAGAGAGCGGGGAGTGGTCATCTCTGTCTGCTTTGTGGGGCTGGCTCAGATATGCCCCTTGCATGACCCGTAGTGGACTTTGCTCTGAATGCCACACTGGTCTGCAGTACACTCCAGGAACAGCAGGACCCTATCTGGGAATTTCGCCACTTTCCAGAGAAGGGGGCTAGGCAGGCATCATCCAGGGTCGGTGGAGCATAGTAGCCACCTGGCCTCTCACTGCTAGAACAGCAGGCCCCGTCTTACAGGCAGCAGTCACAGGCATGCTGGGGGCCACCTTCTCTGCATATAGCAGTTTTGATGTATGCCGTGACTGAGGACAGGACAGCCAGTGCCTCGAGGTGATTCCATTCCTGCCAGCCTCAGAAACCTGTGGTCCCAGGGGTCAGGCAGGCACCTCGAGTTGGCACATGTCAGTGTAGTCGCGAGCTGAGGGGCTGAGGACGTGAGGGCTCCTGGGGAGGGGGAGCTTGGTGCTGAAGGACCCAGAGCACAGGACCTGCAGAGGGGATGGCAGGGATCTGGAGAGCAAGCTTCACGCCATCCCTCCTCTCTCCCTTCTAGATGCACAGCTCTGTTTGCAGCCAGCCCTGCCCGGGCACCCTGCCCTGTGCCTTACAGGTTTGTGCCTCCTGCTGCCCTGTGTGGCACGTCTGGTCCTGCTGTCTGCCTGTCCCTGCTGGTGTCATGTTGAGTGTAGGAGGAGCTCAGGAGGGGAGGCCTCCTCCAGGTCAGGCTTGGTTCTTCTGGCTGGCCTGGAGGTTTCAGCACTTTCCTGCCTTCCTGTGGCAGGGGTCGAAGCCCCAAGTGATGGCAGGCTGGCTCCTTCTGAGGCTTCTCTGCTTGGACTTTGAGGCAGCATCCTGCTCTTTTATGCCCCCCCCTCTCTCTCTCGTGTGTGTGTGTGTGTGTGTGTGTGTGTGTGTATGTGTGTGTGTGTGTGTGTGTGTGTGTTCAAGTTCCGAACTCTTTTCAGGATGACTCCAAGCAGATTGGCTTAGAGCCACCCAGTGGCCCACTTTCCCTTTGTGACCTCTACAAGGACCCCCATCTCCATAAGGTCAACAGGGTTTCAGCCTAGAAAATTTAGGGAAACCAACTTGGCCCTTAACAGATATCAGCTGCCTCAGGAGAGGAACATGGCAGACTCTAGAGGCAGGGAAGAGCCTCCTGAGGAAAACTGAGGTAGGGGTGATGGTGTGGGTCACTGAAGGTGTTCAGTGGAGGAAATGAAGCCAAGGGCAGAGGGGTCACAGCTCTTTCCTTCTGAGACAGCTGGTGGAAATATGTTCCTCTTAGATGAGGTGAGTAGGAGCGAGAGAGAATGGGCATGGGGGACACTAGACCTGGAGAAGGGGTGTAGAGTAGCCAGGTGCACAGGCCTTGCCTGAAAGGATGAAAGTCAGGTGTGGGGAGTGTGGGAGGTCTGTATGAAGGAAGGAAAGGAGGCGCTAGAGCTGGTGATGCAGAGGAGAGGTGAGGAGGGCTGTGTAAGGAGGGCTGGGCAACACTGTCAACAGTAGAGACTGAGGGGAGGCTGAATGTGCAGTGACATCACACATCACCGGGCACTGACAGCTGAGCCTAGGTAAGAGAGGAAGGAGTAGCTGAGAAGGACCTGAGAGCCAGGTCAGCAGAGTGGCGGGCGTGGCTGAAGGGTGTGACTGCAGAGTATTGCTGAGGAACTGGGGCCCAGCCAAGGACTAGACATAAGTGAGTAGCAGAGGTTCTGTGTGTCATGGAGATCGAGGGGTTGCTAGACATGCCCACCTGCCTTCATCTGCAGAGACATGATCACCTCACCCCAGCGTCCCTTGGGACACTCTGAGCATTCAGTCAGTGAGTATCAGGTTGTGGACACCTTACCTACCTTCACTCATGGCCTGCTGTGTTTATTGTAGCCTTCAGTTGTTCACCCAAACCTGTGTGTTTGTTCTGAGACTTCCCTCAACTCACAAAAAGGGAAAAATTCTACCTGCTGAACTCAGTGGCATTTCTGACTGCATCCTGGAGATGCCTCCAGAAGGTTCCCAAGAGCACCACTCCAGGTCAACCTGTACAACTCTGTTCTAGGAAACCAGGACTTCCTCGGAGAGCATTGTGTCTGTGCCCGCCTCCAGCACATCGGGGTCCCCAAGTCGTGTGATCTATGTAAGTGAGGGCCATGGAGTGTGCTGTGGGCTGGGGGTGGGGTCATCACTGGGCCAGTGCTGTGGAGACTGCGGTCTGCTGAGGATGGTCACTGTGGGCACCAAGGGTGAGCATGGGTGCTCAGCACTGCCTTGGGGAAGAAATGGGTGCGCAGTTGGAGAGTGACTCAAAACCTGAGGCCTGGACACGTCCATGTGGCCTGGCCAAGCCCCTAGGAGTTTGTCCCCAACTGGCTGGTGATGAGAGGGAGAGCATAGAGCATAGCAGGAGGGGAGTGGCTGGTCTGTAGTTAGAGTGAGCCAAGGCCACCTGAAGAAAGGATGTTGTGGGTTGTAAGTCACTGTGTAGGTCTGCGTTTGTGTACAGAAGGCTCTTGCCCAACCAACACCCCCAGAGAAATGCACTGGGGATGCACATGCACTGTGTGTGTGTGTGTGTGTGTGTGTGTGTGTACCAAGAGCACCCACGAAAATATAAAAAGGATTGAACCCATTTTAAAAAGTTGTTACAACAGTTGCCTCTGAAGGTAGGCTATAGACAGGAGGGTATTGGTGTTACAGCACTATGTATGAGTGACAAGGTTTGCCATTGAGAGTCCTAAGGCATAGGGTGAAGGCAGCCTAGTGGCAAAAGAAGCCCCAGGACTTGGGGGGGGCAGGTGACAGGGACAAGTCACTTCTGCTATCCTCTGCCTATACTGGCCAGGCCTTGGATCTTCCGCCGCATGGTAGGGAAATGATGTTCTCTCCCCTGCCTGTCTTAGCTTACACCCTCCCATAGTGGTTGTCAGGGCGTCACTCTGATGGCAGAAATAACAGGCATCTTTCCTGGGGTCACTGTGACCACAGTGTGGAGGGGGAGGGTACTGGAGCCCTCTGAAGACACCCAGGCTAAGCCTCAGCCTGTGCCTGTGAGATTTAGAGTCTTACTGTGTACCCTAGGCAAAGCCTTTTCCCCTGTGGGCTCCTGGAAACTCATCAGTAAGCGGCAGTGAATCTAACCCCACTGTCCTGGGCTCCGTGAGGCTTGACATGTGAGGTTCCCAGCACAGCTCTGGGTCCAGAGAAAGGACTGAGAGCATGCTAGCTCTCAGTGTCCTGGGCCTACATGCGAGATCAGGGACTGCGGCCCGGACAGAGAGACTTCTGGCCTCCCAGCTCTGGATCCTAGAAGCCAAGGCCCAAGCAGGGCGAGGCTGGTTCCTCCTGAGGCCTCTCCTTGGTTTGTGGGTGGCATCTTCTCTCTGTGTCATCAGAGTGTGTCCGTGCCCTGCCCATTTGTCAAGAATCAAGCAGCACCTGTTTTGAATGATCCATTTATCTGCCCTTTTCTTTCTTTCTGCTCCCCCTCCCTTCTTTCCTTCCTTGAGACAGGGCTCCACGTAGTTCATGGTCACCTCAAACTCCTCGTTTAGCCAAGCACAGCCTCGACCTTGTGCTCCTCCTGCCTCCATCTCCTGAGCACTGGGATTACTATGTCACTGTGGCTGGCCTATGCCATTGCCAGGGATAGAATGGAGGGCATTGTACATGCTAGGCAAGCCCCCTGCTGACTGAGTCATACTCCAGCCCCTGCCTGTTGTTTACACAAAGTAACAGTGACCAGCAGGAAGGGGAAAAAGATCCCCCTCATTATCTCTCCAGTGGATCTCTGCAGCTGGGGCTCTGCGGACTGCGACCCGTGGTTGCTTTTCTCACCGTAAGTGTGACTTACTGTTCAGCAATGGAAAACCACAGTAAGTGGTGCCTCTTTCTGGTGGCATCCATGGGCATGAGTTGAAAGGACAGTCACCACACTGTGTATTACCCTGAGCTGGAACATATATACTTGTAGTGTCCTATATGGTGACCTTTAATTTGCCTCATGGAGTATGAAGAAGAAAGGAAAAAGGAAAACCACTTACACATATGCACATCAATAGCCTTCACCAATTAGAAAGCTTAACCTGTTGTCAGGGCAACCATCCAAGGCCTTTGCACAGAGAAAGTAACTCTATGAGCTATTTGGCAACCGCTGTTTGCAGCAGGCAACTGCTAGTGTATTGAGGCCCAGGTTGTACAGGAGCCTGAGGAAAGAGCGGACCACCCAGAGCCAGGTGGTCTTAAGTAGGATACTTAAGCACTATGGGCTGAGTTAAGAAAGCCAGGAGGACAGGTGAGTTGGGAAGGGCACACTGTTTCTGGTTATCTGGAAGTGCAGGTCTTGGGGTGTCCAATTGCAGCCTGCAGGACGCTCTGCAGAGCATTTGAGTGAGATGTTCATAACAGTCCAGCCGAGCATGAAGCACAGGTGATGACCCAGTACCACAGGAGACAGAGGCTGGGGTGCCCACCCAGTCTGTGCAGGTGAATGGTTGTTTAGCATTAGACAAAGGGGGACAAAGGCAGTGGGGTCCTGGGCAACTCTAGTCCTGACCCAGGGATGTGGGAGAGGGCACACAGAAGATCCACCCTCTGACCAAGAGAGAATCTGACCCGGATGGCAGCGAGGCCTCCATGAGTGGGAATAGTGTGTGCAAACCCTCAGATGAAGGATGGAAACTGCAGGAGCTCAGGGGCAGGAAGTGTGGAATGGGGGCAGGAGACCAAGGTCGTTTGATGGTCAGGAAAAGATCCCCTGAGCTCCATTCACCCAGACAGCTAGAAAATTCTAATGGGATGATCCATGGTGGTCATAAACCCTGGTTTAAGATTTAATTTCAGATATTTTGAAGCCAGAGATGTGAAGCACTAGGCCTTCAGTCTTAGTGCACTCTTTTCTGCCAAATGTCCCCAGAGAGTCTTGGAGTGAGTCCAGTGGTCAGGAAGGCTTCCTTGAGACGGATGAGGGCTGCTGGGCTCTGGAGAGCCTGATAGGGTCTGGAAAGACAATAAGCAAAGATGTGGGTAGCTGAGGTGGGAGACGCCTGGAGGTGTCATCAGGAGAGCCACTTGATGTAGCTGCAGCTTGAGAGGTTTGTAAGGGTGGGGCCTCCAGGAGGGAGTACCAATGGGGGGAAGGGTTCCAGAGTCTTCAGCTGCCATGCCTTCCTAGGTGCATGACTCTGAGCTCTGGACTCTCCTGTAAATGGGAGCACTGAGAATGTCCCCATCACAGGGAGCTGTGACTTTCTGTGACTGATACAGCTCAGTATCTGCTGTGGCTATTGAGCCTTTGTCTCAGAATCCCAGCAGAGGAGACCTGGCAAAGGCTGATTCAGCAGGGAGGGGCCAGCCTGGAGCTGGGCTGGAGGCTGGAAAGAGCCGAGGTACTCCTAGAGCCAGAGCAGATACGTGGGACTACAGAGTGAGCATGGGCACAGTGGGACACTGCCCGAGAAGGCTGGGCAGAACGAGCAATAGCAGCCAGATGGCTCACAGCATCTCACAGTGAGTGCGTGTGGACCACGCCCCAGCACCATGTCAAAGGCTGCTCTTCTGTACTTGCTCAAAGCTGCTAGGATGAGGAGAGAGAGAATGAGAATGAGTGAAACTGTGATTGTGTGTCCTCATTTGGTGTGGATGAGGTGAGTTATGCTAGTGTTTGTGTGTCACACACACTTGTGTAAGTGTGTAGGAGCCAGTCCTGGTGTGCAAGTAGGCGTGTCAATATATGGGAGATGTATTGTGAATCAGCAGGTGTGTGTTATCATGTGAGTGTGGGTGTAGTTGTTAGTGCATCCCCTCAGAAAGACACACTCTCTGTGTGTCCTGATTTGTAGGCATCCCTGTGTGTGCATTGATGTGAGTAGTGGATTGTGTACATGTCCATCTGTGATATATGTTCATGCTATATACTTGTAGCCATGTGTGGTTTCCGGTTATAGCCTGAGTCTCATTGTCCGGCCCTGCATTACGGACACAACCAACAACCTCAGTGTCTAACCCCAGGGCTATTCCTGTGATCAGGTCCTTGGCCTTGCATCCCTGTGCCACCTTTGCTGGGGTCTGGATGTGCTCAAACCCCGCTGGAGCCCTGCAAGCCCAGGCCATCGTCCCTGCTGGCTGTGGAGTCGCTCTTGCCCGGTGTGTGGCATCAGTGTCCCCTCCTCTGCTCTCTCCTCCATCAGGCGAAGCTCGGTGATGAGATCCTGGACTACAGGGACTTGGCTGCTCTTCCCAAAAACAAAGCGATCTATAACATTGACCGCCCCGACATGATCTCCTACTCGCCCTACATCAGCCACTCGGCCATGGGGGACAGGCAGAGCTATGGCGAGGTATGGCTCTTCACGATGTGTTGCATGCTTCCCCCAGTGCTGGCTCTTGTGGACAGAGTCATTGCCACGACTCTCAGCTTCTTCCTCCCCAGACAGCAAGTCCATCTTATTTAAGGCACTCCCACTCAACCACGCCCCCTCGGGAAGTGAGTCTGAGTGAATGGGCTGTGAACAGAGTTGAGGAAAGGGAAGCACACTCTGAAAATGTCTGCATTTTTCTGGCTACTGAGATCTTTCATGACACATGAAGTGTGGCATATTCCCTCTCTGGGCCATATGGTCTTGAGCCCCTATTCCTAGGCTAGATCCTCTTCTGTGGGTGTCTCGAGCCCATCCCTAGGCTGGTTCAACAGTGTGGGTCATGATTCCCAGTGTTCCTGGAAGTAGGCAGCATCTAGTGGTGATGTCTGGAAGTAGGCAGCATCTACTGGTGATGTCCGGAAGTAGACAGCATCTAGTGGTGATGTCTGAGAGCAGGCAGCATCTATTGGTGATGTCTGAAAGTAGGCAGCATTTGTTGTAATTTTTTAAAAGTGGTTTGAGAGAGAAGGAAACCATATGACAAAGTTCAAGTGGAAGGGATTTTTATTAAGGGAAAGGACTGTAAAAAGGGGAAAGGGGGAGGGGAAGGGGGAGACTGGCCTCTGTAGACAGGAGCAGTGGGAGAGAGGAAAGAGGCAGAGGGGGGGAGAAACAGATAGAGAGAGGGAGAGAAAGAGAGGGATGGGAGGTGGGCAGGGCTCTTTTAAAGGGACCATGGTGACTAGGCACAGGTGGTGTTCTTAGTGGCAGCAGCTGAGGTATCTTGTCAGCACTCCAAAGGCAGGCCAGTACAGATGCCTGAATATTAACTGCATCTATTGGTGAACTTTGAACGTAGATAGCATATATTGGTGAAGTCTTATCCAGGCTGCCTATTTCCACTGACTGCAGCAGCTCCTGTTGAGTTTTATTTTCCTTCTGTCAGGAGGTCTTAATGTGGCTTTGGCTGTGTGTGGAGCTCAGAACAGTTGCTCACCTGGGGCAGAAAAATGGTTATTCCTTTAAAATTTTTTTGAGACAGGGTTCTCTGTATAGCTTTGTAGACCAGGGTGGTCTCAAACTCACAGAGATCCGCCTGCCTCTGCCTCCGGAGTGGTGGGATTAAAGGTGTGTGCCACCACCGTTCAGCAAAATGGTTATTCCTAACATGTGCCCCTTTGACTCCTTTCTGTGGCTTCAGCAAGGCCTTGTATGGAGTGAGGGCCAAGACCTGAGGCATACTTACACAGTCGTGTTGAGTTACCCAGCTTGGCCCTGCATAGGTCACAGCTGCTAGGCAGGCTTGCATGCTCTGAGGACCACTCAGGGACCAAGAAGACCAAAGGGACCAGCAGGTGACCCTCCTGGTGTGCATGCCTGAGGGGGGGGTCACCAGCCATGTGGCTACTGCACCACCCACCATGTACCTGAGCTGGGTGTGGGCTTCACCATCCCACATCTAACCTCTGGACAGCAGGAAACTGAAGAGGGTCAGAGGCCAAGCAACTGGACTGTATTCCTCTGAGATCCAAAGATTTTCTCCCCTACAGACTGTCTACTGGCTGATTCCTTGGTTGATCCTCAGGCTAAGAGCTGGGTTCAAGTCCTACTGTACTCAGGATGCCGCCAGGGCTCTCCTGCTTGGGGCATTGGCATTCCCGCTCCCACATTGGCCTCAGGAAGCCATGGCGGGAAGGGCTGCAGTGGGCCGCAGTGATATAAAGGACCACAGACTGTTGACAACTTTGTCCTATATCCATGGGTCACACAATGCTGCTGCTCACGTGTGTGGCATAGAGTTGTGGACACGGTCTGGAAACCTGTGAAGTTTCTTTCATCATCTGAGACCATAGAGCAGGATCCGTGTCACCCACAAATAGTCCCGACTTAAGGGCCTGTCCCTCAGAGGGCAGTGAGACAGCATGGGAGAGTATGTATGTGACTCAGGAGTCACCCTCTCCAGTATCTGCTTGTACCTTCTGACTACACTGCCTGTGAGCCCTTCCTCAGCAGAGGTCAGTACCAGGGTGTCCCGGGGAAGGAATGGGTATTCCCACCAAAACCACTTCCTCCTGAAGCCCTGGATGGTGTGTGGTAGGGCAACATAAAGTAGAGAACCAGCCGGGCAGTGTTGGTGCACACCTGTAATCCCAGCACTCGGGAGGCAGAGGCAGGTGGATGTCTGTGAGTTCGAGGCCAGCCTGGTCTACAGAACTAATGCCGGGATAGGTTCCAAAACTATACAGAGAAATCTTGTCTCAAAAAAAAAAAAACAAAATAAATAAATAAAATAGAAAACCTCAGTGCTCTTGTCAGGTACATTACACAGAGTATCCAATGGCTTCATTATGGCCTTACTGCCTCATCCCTCTGGACCATTCTCATGAACAGAGTTTTCATTTTTGTCCCTACGATCAGCCCCAGCCCCTGGGAATGATTTTTCCCAGTTATACCTAAGAAAGCCAAGGCCAAATGAGGTTCAGCTAGGTGAGTTGGCTCTGGCCCCTGCTCTCTGGGTGCCCTGAACGAGGAGGGAGAGCCATCCTCTAGCGGAGGGGAGCCAGTGAATGACTGGACACATAAGGACTGGAGTCGCCTCTCCTCTGTCCCCCTGACCTCTCCCATTCTGCGGTCCCCACCCCATCTGTCCTCCCGGAGAAGAGGAAAGGGATGGGCCCAGTGGGTGGTGCCACAGTGGCCCCTGAACCACCAACAGTTTTGCTTTTGACCTCATGGTCTCTGTGGAGAGTAAAGACGGGATCAGGTGGACTGAGTGGAGGAAGGCGCTGGGCCAAGCAGCCCCAAAGCCCGTCCCTTGTGGTGGGGCTCTTTCTCAGCTAGCGCCTCAGGTCACTGGATGTGGGTGCCTGTGTTGCCTGTGGTTACCAAGCAGCCCTCTTACCCCAAAGCAACCCCTGGCACAGCGCACTAACAGACGGCTCTGTTGTGTCCACAGTCGCCTCAGTTGCTCTCACCAACGCCGACTGAGGTAACCACCAGCTATGCCTGCGCCCTGTGTGCTCATGGTGCTGCCACCTGCAGGGTTATAGAGATGACCAGCATGGCACCCTCAGGGCCACGGGGCCCTAGCCACATCACGGGGAGGGGCCCCTCCTGCTGGTTGTTTGTATAATCACACCTCATCTGCATGCTCCCCCATGTGTGTGCAGACAGGGCTTCACCAACAGTGGGGATGCGGTGTTGCCCAGCAGCTCTTGGCCTGGGTCATGACTTCCTTGGGGGAGCTGAGGTCCACTGTATACCCGGCTAGGTATACAGGAAGGTCTGGGGCCTGGGGACCGAGCACTCTCTGAGAGCTGTGCTGTCAAATAAGCTCAGTAGCGCTCCAGGGCTTCTTTCCTCTGAAGCAGTGGTTACAGATTGTGGCCCCTCAGACTCCAGGCCGTGTGGCAGAACCCGGGGCTGGGGAGGGCCTAGGGGCACAGCACACTTTTGAGTTTTCTCTCTCTGTGCTGGACACTGCTGCAGTCATTTTATACCTAATTCTTTTACCCCAGAACATCACCCAGAGGTAGCTTCCAGGAGTTCTCCATTTTACCAATGGGGAAACTGAGGCCCAGATGTTTTCTTCCTGCCCTCCCCATCCGTGGGAGTGTCCCATTCCAGCCCACAGAGATGGTTCCAAGAGTGAAGATCTTCTCATCATCTCAGGCTGATCAATGCTTTGCACTTCTTGTAGCTTTAGAAGCAGGATCTACGGCAAGAGCCCTGCCTGTCCCCATTCCTTGGGCACTGTGAGGACCCTGGTGCTGTGGGATGCTTGGGGCTGAGATGAGGCTAGGATGGGTGGCATGACCCAGGCCACCAGGCTTCATTGCCGAGGGATGGGCATTCTGATTCCTGAACCATGGTGCCATGCCATCTCATGCTGCTGTCGCCTGTTCTGGCTGCTCCCAGAAGCTTCTCTTCCTGCTAAGACAGGGGTTGTGTCCTCAGCGCTTCTTGTGGGTCTTGTGCTGGCTTCTGAGCCCCAGAGGGCGGCTCTGCACTTCGGAAGGTGCCCCAGAGCGTCTAGCGCCTCCCTCACATGTGAGGAGAATTTCAGTGCTCTCAAACTGTTCCAGGGGTCCAGAGTGCTGGGGAGGGCTAAGAGGGAGGGGCTGGGTGGGGTCCTTTCACCCCATCCCAGAGGGTCCGATGGACAAGAGGGGTGGATGTCCAGTGGGCCCATGGTCAGACCAAGGGGCTTGCTGTGGCTCAGACCCCCTTGCTGTCCAGATGTGCTCTGTTAGCACTCTGACACCTGTTTTAGGCTGTGTTGCTTCTGCTCCTGGGATCCAGAGGGCGAATCCAGTGCTCCTGACCCAGGTGCTCTCACACTGTCTTCCCACCCAGGGGGATCAGGATGATCGGTCCTACAAGCAGTGCCGGACCTCCAGCCCCAGCTCTGCTGGCTCCGTCAGCCTCGGGCACTACACCCCAACATCACGGTCACCCCAGCACTACAGTCGCCCAGGTATTTATCCCACACTCTGCTTCCCTTGACCCCCGATGAGGCTGTACTTCTCAATGAGTTTGCTGACATAAAAGGGCCTCTTTATTGGTTGGGCAAAGTGGCAAATTTGGGGGTGGGGGGATGCCAGTGGGTGGTCAATGGAGAGTCACTTAGCCATAATGGAAAGGACTGCCTTATGCCCAGGAGCAGGTAGCGTTGAGGCAGACGGTCACCCTGGGGCTGGAGGAGCTGTCTGCATCCATAGTGCACATCCTGAGGAGCATACAGCCCCAGGGCCCACACAGAACAACCAGAGTGGGCTTCTGGATGTAGTGACAGAGCAATCAGGATGTGACAGCACATGAGGCAGGACACCAAGTCACATCATGTTGTGATCCCACAGGATTTCTGGAAGACTTGAGCTGAGGAGTCAGGGTCAGTGGCTACAACAATACACAATCAGAATGTCTAATGGTGCACACGCCTGTAAATCAGAAACCCTAGAGACAAGCATCCTAATAAAGTAGTTGGCAAAAGGCCCCTATGCCCTTCCAAGCTGGGAGAGAGCCCTGTGCCTCATTCCCCCCCCCCAGTTTGTATTGTCTTCCTCAGCTTTGAGTTGGCATGTGAAAGCCACAGGGACCATGCACAAAAGCAATGCCTTTTGGAGGGATTTTTCCAGCCTGCTTATTCCCTTCCAGCTGTGCATGACCCATTTTCACACCTATGGACCATAGCTCTTATTTTTGAAAAATGTGTGGAAAAATCAACTTAATTGTTTGCAGTCATTCTCATGATCCCTTGCAGTATGCCTGGTCCCTCCTGCTCAGCAGTGTGAAGGAAGAGGGTGTGTGCGTGTGTTCACGAGAGGCCGTGATGAATGAGTGAGTGTCTGAATGAATGAGTGGCCTAGTGGATTAACAACTGAGAGAGGGAATGAGTGAGTTAATGAATGAGTTAATGGGTTAGTTGGTGAGTGAATGGGTAAGTTAATGAATGTTTGGTGCATGTATGAGTGAATTGAGTGAATGAGTGAGTGAATGATCGAGTAAGTGAATGGAGATGAATGAGTGAGAAAATGAACAGATGAGTAGGTGTGTGAATAGAAGCTACTTTCTTGAGTCCTTCCGCTAAGGCCCCTTGTTACTTGACTCCTGACTTTGCATCCCCAAGAGGAGCTGACTACTGACTGCTTGGTCAGGGGTAAAGCCTACAGTGCCATGCTTTATATCTGGAAAGTGCCATGAGGATGCTGGTGACAGACCACTCCCTGACCTCTGGAAGCTGCCCTCCCATTGTTCTTGATCTCAAGGACACCCAAAAGTGAGCCACAGGCAGGACCAGAGGCTGTGTCCCAAGTCCTGGCTGCCACCCTGTGTCCCAGAGGCAGCAGATCCTGATCCCACCTGGAGGAGAATGGCCCACAGCCTGCTGGGTGACCCTCTTCAGGTGCCCCAGGAGAGCAGAGGGACCATGTCCCTGGCCAAGTGGGGACTAGGACAAGGTGGTGGCTCTGGGGTAGAGGAGCCCAGGGTTACTGACTGCTCTCTGTTGCCCGCAGCTGGTACTGTGAGTGTTGGTACCAGTAGCTGTCTGTCCCTGTCCCAACACCCAAGCCCTACATCCGTGTTCAGACATCATTACATCCCCTACTTCCGAGGTAAGGCGTGCAGTGCACAGTGGGGGGTGCTCGTCCCATGTCTCAGCATGGCTTCCAGAGCCCTGTGTCTCATGCCTGTGTTCTTCCTGTGTTGTGTGCGTCTGGCTCTGTTTTGTCAGTGTGTACATGTTCCTGGAAGGAGCAGGGGGATTTGTCACTAAAAGTGCAGCTGGAGGGAGCATGTCAATGAACATCTTGCTCCGTGCTTAGGGCCTCACTGGAGTTGTTGTACACATTTACCCATCCACCCTATGTGGTGGGTTGCTGTTAGTGTCAGCCTTCAGGAGCAGGAGCTAAGGTGTGGAGAGGTGGTGATGTCCACAGTCTCAGACCCCTGGTGGCTGGGCCAGGACTCAACCCAGGTGGCTCCAACCCCTGGCTCTTTCCAGGATGCAGAACCAGCTGTGATCCATTTCCTGTGACCTATTCACATGAATTCCACGGGAGACGCCCTTGTGGTTTCCTCCATGCTAAGATCTGAGTTGTGTATACCCCAAGTTCACATGTTGATAGCCAAACCTCCGTGTAGCAGTGTTTGAAGAAACAAAGTGAAGGCAGCAGTAGAGATAGAGTGAGGCCACAAGGTGGGACTCATCCACTGTGACTGGTGGCCGTGTAAGGCGAAGAGGAGGCCCTGGGCATTGCCCACGCATTTAAGATCAGTGAAGAGACCTTCAACGAGACAGGATGAAACACCACAAAAATAAAACAAAGACAACAACAATAACAACACCAAAAACCTACTCCTGGGTTTTGATCATGACTCCAGAAGTGTGAGACATGAGAGGCTGAAATGGATGTAGGCCCTGAGCTGTGAGTTTTTGTTACACAGCCCAGCTGATAGATACACCAACGAATGGCATCTGGAGAATTAGAAAACACAGCAACCATTTTCTCAAGTCTCTGACTCTTACAGTCATGCCATGGGTACCCATGGAAGGCTCCTTCCCACAGGGTGCAGGCACAGGTGACAGCTCCTGTCATTAGCAGTCAGTAAATGACCCATTCTCCCTCATCTTTACTCTCACCCCGGCCTCACTCTTGGTCCTCTGAGAAGAGCCCTTGGGCTTATCATGTATTCCTTGCCCCTTCATGGGCTCTCCACACATCCCAGTCTCTAGCAGGAGTTGAGTTCCAGTGAGTCCACATGGCACATCCCCAGAGCAGCAAAGTAGCTTCTGGGGCCTTGATACACGTATGTCATATGCCTGTGGGAGTCTCAGAGTGAGGGGTGCTCCTGGAACCTGGAGGGAGTCTGACTGACTGACTACCCTGAAGAGTCAGACTGCACAGTCTCATGTCTTCTTTCCTTTGCTCAATGGCCCTGGGCATGGTCCCCCCCCCCGTCTGTGTGGCCCTGCCTTTGGTGGATCTGTTACACTCTGCGTCCCTGGTCAGCCTGTGACCAAAGACAAGAGCACACACTAGACATTGGCTGATGCTGTCCCTTTTCTTAATGGGATGGAACAGGAACCCACAGCTCTGCCCTCCAGTTGACTTCCATGGGAGGCTGTGACCTTGGGCTCTCCAGCATCTTTCCAGGACACTCCTTAAGGAAATAGATGAGGAGGTACAGACCCTGAGATCCTCGTGAAGATCATCCCGTTCCTAGCTTCTGAACAGCTCTCCTAGCTTCTCCACAGGGCACAATCACAGCCGTGGCATCTACCCAGTGTCTGGAAAATTCCTCCTTTCCCCCATGGGTGCTTTGCAGTATTTGGGACACAGTAGAGATACCTCACTGTCTGATGCTGGGTGAGGGCCCCCAGGTAGACATGCCTTCCTGTGCCAGCCCTCTCCTGACCTAGCTGTATAGTGGCAGGACCCCTCACTCCCTTCCCTCTTTTCACCTTCCACCTAGCCCAGACATCATATTCTTCTGCTGTGTCTCAGTGCCTAGGGTGTCACTGCCCCAAGACCTACAGTCAGGTGAAGGACTAATGAAAGTTATTGGAACATTAGTGTGAATTCTAGACCTTGGTTGGGGTGGTATAAGGTTTAAACCCAACTCTTACTTGATAAGAGACAGGCTGTAAGGACAGGAGATGTAGGTTGGCAAGGGGACGCCATGCTGCTGAAGCCACTTTTCTGGGAACTGACTGGAGGGACTTCCGCAGCACTGTTGGCATGAAAAGGAAGGGAGGCAGAAGATCTTAGGGGCAGAGCCTCAGGTCAAAATCCCAGCATGCACTGTGTCCAGTAGGTGATTCTCGTTTTGCCAAAGGTCCCCTCCCACAGCTCTGAAACAGGTCCCTAAGCCCTGGTCCCTCAACCTCAGGATCTGTGGTCAGTGCTCCAGGTAGAAACTACACATGTCTTGGCTATGGTCCTCAAAGGTCCCTGACACATGGTTGTAAACCAGACTTGCTCTGATGTGACTTTGGTAAAGTTCAACCAGAGGCAATGGCAGCATCTTGGCCATAGCCAGGGGTAATGTCTTTAAGGCCAGAGCCAGCTGCAGGATCTTCAAGACTAGAGCCAACTGCAATAGCATCCAGGCTAGAGCCAACTACATCATCTTCAAGGTCAGAGTCAGGTGTAGCCATAGCAACCAGAGTTGGAGCAAGAAAGTGAATGATGAGTTATTGGGCTTTTCTATACTGAAAAGACCAGCTAAATAAGATTATTTGGTAACAACATCTGCACAGAATTTGTGGAGGTGGTGGGTCATGGGGGTAGGCAGGAGTCCTTCCAATGCATAACCAAGTGCAGGCTATGTAATATTTTGAGCTTTACCACCCCTAGGCAAGGCCTTAGCTCCAGCTCCAGGTCCTGCAGACAACAAGGGGTGACAGGGATGATGTTCCACCTCTGCGCCTTCTTCCTCTCTATATAACCCCTGTTTCTCACAGTCCCAGGTGAGGGACATTCTGCACACCCCTCCCCTGCCAGTGTCCTAGGAACTGTTAGGACCTGTGGTATGGGATGTGCTGGTCATAGCTGGGAGACACCAAGATGTGACCGTGGGTATAGTGTGATGTCCTGGGTGGCTCAGAGACAGAAAGGATGTCCAGCAAAAGTGGGTGAAACTCAAATAAAGCATAGCTAACATGACAGGGTCCTTCCCTAGATGGTGTCAGAAATACCCTGGATATGAAGCCTTCAAAAAGAGACAAAGGAGCCTCCATGGCTGGCCTTGGGTGACATCATGGTCCTGGGGACCTCATCACAGAGGTCCAGTGGGAAAGTTGGCTTCCAAGTAGTATGCCCAGCTCACATAGCCATCCCTCCTCAGAGATGGTGCCCACTGTGTGGGATTGACATGGGCACACTGGAAGAGCACACAGCAAAGCTCCAGGCAGGTCTGTGGGGTCAAGTCCAGCAGGATGTTTTCTCAGCTACATGAGACAGGCAAGCATGCTTGCAGAAAACAGAAAGGCCCATGGTGGCCTTGGCCTCCTGAGGGTTTTGTCAGCCAGGTAAATCCTGAATCTGAAACCAGGAAGGTCTAGAAATTTTGGAGCCTGGTAAGGGCCTTGCAGGTCAGGCAGGGGCAGGGAAGACCTGGTGGTGGTGTCCCAGGCAGGGATCAATGTGGCTTGTGTTGACAGGGTCCTTGTGGGTCATCAAGGCTACCACACTGTGCCTCAACTCCCTTGGTCTCTGAACAACTGAGAAACTGCAGCCCCTTTTAGTGAGTGCAAACATGTGTGGAGCTCTCATTTATCATTTCAGGGAGCATCATACTGTAGGCCAAGCTCTGAAGACAGGAATGTTGGACCATTATAGAATCCTCAGTCAGCTGGGTGAGGGTAACAGAAATGACCATGAAATCGAGATAGAAGAAATAAAGGCCTGTTCATGTGAAGTTCTAGGCTCAAAAAGGCCAAGCCACAGAAGATGAGCTCAGAGATGACAGCCATCAGGGACAGTCTTCAGCCAGGGTGGATTGTGTACAGGTGTGTTTTCAGAGTTGCCACGTCTGTCATGACTTAAGTGTCACGTGGAGCCATGGCATCATACATAGAAGGAGCCTGTGGTTCCCTCCTTCCTCAGCTGAGGCCCCTACTACTGCTAGGAAGAACAGAAGCTCAATGGATGCAGCCAATCAGAAGGCTCTATACAGCTCTGGAACAAAATCTTTTAGTTCTCTAAAGCTCCATCAATGTTTGCAGGAGAAATCAGTGACCATGCTCAGGCAGGAGAAGACACCCAAAGCAGGAGCCATTGGTCTCCTTTGGTGGCCCTCCCTGCCTGTGTGTGATGCCCTTATTGTCTCCTGTCCGTCCAGACCTGGCATCTGTCCCATTGGCTTTAGGGTCCTACTGCTTGATCTTGCCATTCCAAAGCATAGTTCTCGAATCTAGAGAGCCCGTTCCTTGCCAGGCAATAAGCTGCTGCCCTGCAGAATTCCCCATGTGTAACGGAGGGGAACAGTTGTGCCTTGGGGTGTCCTGCTGTGAGCCGTGCTCCTCATCACTTGTCCAGTGCCACTGTCTTTTATCCATCACATCCTGCATTGGCGGGAGGCGGGGCATCCACCCAGGTCATCAGGTCTATGACGGGTGATTTGATCATCCAGTCTCCTTCACAGAACACAAAGCATAGCTCCAGCTGAGGCAGAAGTTGGAGGAAGCAGAATACCTTTCTCATTTTGCCAGAAACAGCTTGTATCTAGGAAGTTGCTGGATGTTGATCCCCAGTCTCCTACATGGGCAAAGTGTTTGTGAGGGATGCTTTTTGACCCATTCCCACACCTTAGTCCCATTCTGACAGTTAACTGGTTGAATCTCAAAGCAAGCAGGACCTTTCTGCATAAACTACATCAGGGAGGCAGGAACTGAGAGCCTGCAGTGTGTGCTCACACCCTAGGGTCCTGGGCTCTGCTCACTGCCCACGCACTAACATGCGGTTGGCCCTCTTATCGCTGTCCCTTTGTCCCCTCCACTCCCTGGAGCCAGGTACATTGCAGATTGGGGCAGAGGCCATAGAGCCCAGGCTGGAAGACTCAGGTGTGGGCTTCCTTCAGGCAGGAGAGAGGGGTTCACTTCAGACCAGCTCTTTTTGCCTGAAACCGTCTGCTTTGCTTTCTTACCCCTCATCTGCTGCCTCTGCTCTTCCGTCTGGAGGCAGCGAAAGTGGCCGTAGCACCCCAAGTCTCTCAGTGCTCTCCGACAGCAGGCCTCCTTCCTCTACCTATCAGCAGGCGCCGCGCCACTTCCACGTCCCAGGTAGGTCCCCGTGTGCTTGTCGGGTTCCTCATGCACCATTGTGGCCACACCCAGATTGCCAGCGCATCCCCAAACACTGAGTCTCCTTAAAAGTTACTCCATGGAGTAGGGTATAGTGGTGCAAACCAGTTATTTCAGCACTGAGAAGGTAGAGGCAGGAGGATCACAAGTTTAAGACCAGCCTGGACTAGAAAACAAGATTATGTCGGGTGGTGGTGCACACCTTAAATCCCAGCACTCAGGAGGCAGAGGCAGGTGGATCTCTCTGAATTTAAGGCCAGCCTGGTCTACAGAGTGATTTCCAGGACAGCCAGGGCTGTTACACAGAGAAACCCTATCTTGAAAAATAATAGTCAAAGCAAAACACAAAAAAAAATCCCAAAAAGATTTTATTCCCAAACAAACAATATAAAACCCTAAAGCAATGGGTTTGCATGACCCCCCAAACTGACATATGCTCATGTTTTTCTCCAAGTCTCACAAATACTGAGAAAATGGTTTTTGTTCTGGGTCAAGGTGGAGAAAAGGGGTTGAGTTAGTTGTACCCCCTGTGACCCAAGGTCCCGCTTGCTGCCTTCCCTGTCCACCCTCTCCCTGTCCACCCTCTCCCTGTCCCTTCCCATCTGAGGTGGTGCCTGGACTAGGGGATGCTTGATGGATGTGTGGGCCCCAACCTCGCCTACTTGCTGTTCTCGAACCTTCCTGGTGATTCCAGGCTGCCAGAAGCCACTGTGTGGAGAGCATCGCAGCTGCCTCCCCGCTTCCCTCACGTTCTTTCCTTCTCTCTTTCCTTCTTCTTCCCAGACACTGGCGTAAAAGATAACATCTATAGGAAACCCCCTATCTACAAACAGCACGGTATGGTTGCTCTGACGGACTCTGCTGCCATGCTTTGCCTGCATGCCCGTTGCACCCTCTTGCTTCTGAATGCTCCTTTTGCTGTGTCCTGATCCGAGGCTCCGGGAGGCCCTGCTGGCTGAACACTAGATGCACACTCACTAGTAGGCTCCTGGGAGGCCTCTCTTCACAAGAGAGGAGACATGAGGAGAGGCTAATGCATGGCATCTGGGGCTGGGGTGCGCCTGCTAGAATTAAGACCTTTGTTTTGTGTTTTTGATGCTACTATGAGGGCCCCAGCTGAGATGGTGAGGGACTGGGGGCTTCTCACCTATGTCCTGACACAGGCCCGATTTTTGGAAACTAATTCAGAAGCAGCCACAATCGATGGAGACTGTAGGCCCTGTCTTTTGAGAGTGTCTGTGCTATTCCCTTGCCCTTGGCTATTGAGGCTCCTGGCATTGTGTGGAATCTAGAGATGCTTGGCAGCAAAGGTGTCTCTGTCCCTTTGACCCCCATTTCTTCTACACGAGAACTTACCCGGGGCAGATGTGCGAGGAGATTGCTTGGGCTGTGGAGCAGGGCTCTAAAGGAGTCAGAATTGGGATTTCCTGGTGACGGGGCAGTTGCCTCGGTTTCCTCATCTGAAAATCAGACTCCTTTCCCACCGTGCCTTCCACCTCCTCGCTGCCAATTCCTTGCCCTTGCCCTTCCTGTCATCCCTGTGGGGTTGGGCATGGGATGCTCACAGAACAATAAGTATGGAGAGAGTTCTAAACTGTAAAAGGGCTGTGCACAATGTGGAGGCTGTTATGCCGCCGTCACTGAGACGGGAGGGAAGAGAGATTCCCATGTGAACAGCTCTTTTTTGGGTGTGTCCAAGAAGTCACCCCCTTCTCACACTGACAAGCGGTAACCAGCTTATCGGAGGCCTGCTGTGTTGGGTTTTATTCCTCAGTGGTGGCAAGAGGCCCTGTGCTCCGTGTCTTTCCTCCTCCTCTCAGAAGGAAAAAAAGGAATTGAAGTTCTGGTTTCCAGAATCCAAATAGAGAGCACACATCTCCCCAAGGGATGGGTGGGAGCAGTGGGGAAACTGAGGCTCAGTCAAAGGAAGCAGCACCCCCTTAGGTAGCCCCTACAGTACCATGATGGATGGCTTTCAAGGAGGGTCATGGGTTCTGCACCCCCTGGAGCCCAGGACAAAGATCAGCTCCTGGTGCCTTAACTAGCTACTGCCGCCTCTGCATTACAATTGGCACCTTAACTATGTGGTTCATACCCATGGTCCAGGCCTTGGCAAGGGGCAGCATTAGAAAAATCACTTTATGTAACTGACCAGCGGTGTCTCGATAGGGCCAGACTGAGGCAGAGTGTTGGAGTTCAAATCCTTTACCTGAACCTCTGGGAGAGATCAGGTTCATAGTTCCCAGGCACCAGCCTTGTAGTCTAGACATAAGACACTGCCTGTCTGCAGGCAACTCCAGCTTGAAGGAGCCTGAGCAATTATTTACTCAAGCTGAGGTTCTTCATGTTGATTCTGTAAAGAAGCAGATCTTAGAGCGGACTGCCTTGGCCGCATTTGGCAAGGCAAACTCACGACAGGAACGCAGAGAGCCATGCAAACTGCAAGTGACTAGAAAGTTTTAGCAGACAGTCGCTCCTTAAAAACCCTTGGGAAAGAGATGTACAGGGATGCCTTTGGTTTCCAGTTCATGCACTGATACCTTTGGTATTCTCAAGGTCTCCCTACCCCTGACTGCATGTGAGAATATGTGCATGCATAAAATGCTCAGAAGCAGGAATGAGACTCGGGCATCAGAGAAGAATAACACTGTCACCAGCAGCGACCATGTCCAGTGATATCATAGTTGAACATAGTGAGCAAATGCATCCAGGGAAATGCTTGGCTGCTTCCAACATGTTAAATATAGTATCTTAATCTAATGGAATGGTCTTGTGATTCACTGTCATCCCCCAGGGGCTGTTTAAAGCTAGAGAAAGGATTAAAATAATGCTGCTCATGCCTGGATCAGGCTCCAGAGCTCCTCAGGGAAGGCCTGTGCTCAGGTTGCCTTGATGGAACAAATACTAGGTGTGGGGGGGGGCTGGAGGCTCAAGCACACACATACACACACACTCACACTTGCGTGCAAACTCATCTGCACACACATACACACCTATGTGCACACATACACCTGCATTCACACACACACACACACTTGCATGCAAACTCACCTGCACACACATACACACCTATGTGCATTCACACACACATACACACACACACACACACCTGCATACAGATAAAATTGCATCCAACCTTGTCACCTTGGGGAGGCAGTTATGGGTAAAAACACAGCTGTCCACATCCAGCTATTCACAGAGAGAAATGTTTTCTTCCTCAGGGCTCATTCCCTCCAGAAAGCCGGGATTAGGCCTTGTGCCTCATAGAGCTTTCAGGCAGTTTCTGAAAACGGCAGAGCGGCTTGAGCAGAAGGGATTCTCTGGAGGCCATCTCTCAAAGGAAGGAAGGCATCCATTTTTAGACTGTTGTTTAGTTTGTTTTCCTGTTGCTGTGATAAAACACCCTTACAAAAGTGACTGAAGTAGGAGGGTTTACTCCAGCTCACAGTTCAGGAGCACCATCCCTCTTAGCAGAGAGGCCATGATGGCAGGAAGCACCTAATCATGCCATGGGCTCCATCAGGAAGCAGAGTGTTGAAGGAAACTGACCAGCTAGACTTCTCCTTTTTGTACAGCTCAGGGAAAGGTCACCTATGTTTAGTGTGGGTCTTCCCACTTCAGTGACCGTAATCAATACCACCCTTCCCCGGGCATGCCCGGAAGCTAATGATTCCTCATGGATGTGGCTGGAGGTTAATTTCTGAGGTGGTTCTGTGTCCTCAGAGGTTGACAGTTTGCAGTGTTCGTTACAACTAAGGCAAATAGTGCTTCTTCAAAGATCTCCTAGACAGTTTGACTGCCCAGGTCCAGAGTGGAGCTGCCAATTTTCCAGGTTTTCATTTGATTTCTAAGCAAGTGTGAGCATGACACAGACATGAGTGAGTGGGGGGGGTTGGCAGGCAGAGGCCCCTCCTGCAGCTTTTGTCTGCACCACAGCAGCAGGCTGAAGATGCCTATCTGGTCACCCGTGTTCTCGGGGCCCCCATCCGAGTAGGACATTTTTATTCCAAGTTCTTTGGTCCCTGGTTGAAGATGGGGATAAGGGCTTGCTGTCCTCTCTGGGGTTTCTTGCCTGGAAGATTGAGCCTCATTTTGGTTTGGGGTCCTCTTCTGGGATAGATGATAGGCCAGATGTCAGGTAGGCTTGGTGTCCTTTAGTGACTGGGTACCCCCATGGGGCATGTCTAACAGAAGTTCTTGGGGGGTGTGGGACAGGAGTGTCAGAAAGTCAGTCTTCTCAGAGAGGGCTTTTGGCACAGGCCTGTTGGCCTTAGAAGAGCTTCTCTGTGTGGACAAAATGACATGATGATCCCCCTTCTCTGGACAGTGGGTGGGAGTGAAGCCAATAAGCAGAAGTGTTGGCTCTATGGCCCTTCCTCTGATGTTACTGTCAGTTCTGGTAGCAGTCAGCAAACAGATGCCATTCCCCCAATTTCATAGAAAGAAGCTAAGTGCCAAGAGATGCCAGGGTTTTCACTAATTTATACAAGGGGTGCTGAGTGTCCAGAGATGCCAGGGGTTTCACTAATTTATCCAAGGGGTGGCTTTGGAGCATCCACTATGTTTTGACTCTACTTCAGAGCTGGAGACATAGGGATGGCCAGACACAGCCTGCCCTGTGAGGCAGAGTACATAGAATTGCCCCTGGAACATATGGCCAAGTACATACCTGCCCTGTGAAGCTGAGAGTCTGTAGGATTGCTCCCAGAGGGTTCACACACACATGTTCATTTCCTCTCAATGCAATTCCACAGCAGTTTAAACTGAACAGGTTGGTGGCTGATGAGCTCTGGGCAAGCTAAGAGAGGTCTTGTCAAGGGTCTGGTTCTCAAACCCAGTCTGGACCTGAGTAGAGAAGCAAGACCCCATCCCCACTCTCTGTAACCCTGAGGTCTAAGGAGAGACACCAAGCCCATAAGCCCCTCCCCATGTGTTCAGAAACTCCTTCATCTACTGGAGATAGTCCAACCAGCTGTGTCTAGGACCCAGCTGTCAAAGCCTTATGGAGCTTGGCAGGGATGGCTCTGCACTGGTGGCGGACAGAGCTACAGTAGGCACCATAGCTAAGACTACCTGATGGTCACAGACTATTCCTGAACAACCTGGAACAGTCGATGGCCTCCTGGAAGCCAAGAGTTGTGGAAGTGTAGGTGCCAACAAGGCAAATTGCTTGACTCCCATAGAAGCTCTAGGCTGCGTCCATCCATCAGCTTTCTGTGTCCACTTATGTGTTCAGGGAGTCACCGGGCATATCAGATGCTGTGGTGACATTGAACATCTACCAGTTGCTCATTGGGGAGGCAGATTTGTGCACAGGTCTCTGAAGTGAAGATGAGGCCCTGTAATTTCTACATCTTGTGGGAGAACAAAGTCAGCCAGTTGAGGCCAAAAAGGATCATGTCTGTTCTGGTGTTCCCGGGCTCAGGACAGGGCAGGTGCAGGGGTGAGGCTGAAGGGCTAAGTGACAGAATCCCAGTATGATGGGGGACAGGGCTGCGTGGATGGATGGATGGATGCATCAGTGAACAAAGGAATGGACTGCAGAGGACAAAGAGAGGTATGCATAGGTGGGTGGGTGGGTGAATAACTGGAGAACCGTGGATACAGGGATGGGTGAGTTGGTTAGTGGATGCATGGATGGATAGATTTATAGATACAGTTATATGGCTTAATGGATGGGTGAGTGGTATATGGATGAATAAATAGGTGGGTAGGTTAGTGTATGGGTGGATGGATGGAGAAATTGATGATTGGTGTATACATGAACAGATGATAGATAGATAGATAGATAGATAGACAGACAGATAGACAGACAGACAGATAGATAGATAGAGGACAGGTGGGTGGATGGGATAAACTGTATAAGAGGATTGTTGGGTTAGTGGATAGGAGTAGATACATAAACAGAAGCGTGGGTTATGTCTGGGTGGGTAGACAGATGAGCAGAGGGGTGGAATACTAAGAGAGTAAGTAGACAAGCGAATAGATGAGCACCCAGAGGGACCCAGAAGTAGTACATGGGTATGTTCAGACTAAAGTGGGAAGTGGGGAGAGCTGCCTGCAAATTACCTTCAGGGTTGACCTCTTGACTATTCCTAGCTTTGCAGAGCTGTAAGCCTGCCATTGTATTCTCAGACACACTCACCTGGTCCTCATGAATTAGAGGAGGTAGGGTGGCATTTCCCCAATTTACAGATCAGGAAACTGAGGCTCCAAGTTGTTATGGAAGCAAACTACCAACATTGCAAAATGCCCGGCGAATTCGGGTCTGGTCTGTCAAACTACACACCTGTCACAGTTTGTGGTGTTTACAGAGGACCCTTGTTTAGTCTTCACAGAACATTGCTCTCAGCAAGTGGAGGGGCATTCTGGAGCCCTGGGTAGCACGACGCCAGAGCGTGTTGGCTAGTGTGCCATCTGTAGCTATGTGGAATCTTGAAAACTATGGCCCAGGGTGCTGGGGTGGGATTTCACATGCTGAAGAACCCCTGGTCCGGAGTCTCTGGCACAGATGGTGAGGTAGGACAGTCAGAGCTTGGAGTGGCCACAGCTTATCCCTGCACCCTTGCTCAGCTGCTGAGAGTCGGTGCTGGTGATAGCCACAGTCAGTGCTGCTGCAGTGACAGCCATTGTTTGAGCAAGAGGAGTCACACTGCCCACCCATCTGTGTCCCTCCATTGAGCCTCCCCGGCAGGTCTGGAGTTAATTCATCCCTGTATGTGGAGAGGGCAGAGAAAGGTTTACTTTCACCTAAAAATACCCAGTCCCTCACTGGGAAAACAGGCAGCCGCAGGGGGGAATGCAGAGTCCTCGTGTCTAGAATGGAAGTACTCAGTCTTCGATTTTGGCCCTATCTTGTCAAGGTCCTGTAGCCCAGTCCCCAATGTCCAAGCTCTCTGACCTGGTGTCAGTTTTGTCCTTGGTGGTGCAGGAGGCAGGGCGCTCCAAGAGACGGGCAGGGCTGAGCCCACCGCAGGCTGCAGGTAAGAAGCCCGCCTGCTCTCCTCCCTGAGCTGAGCCCTAGCTGGGGAGGACCCCAGGGCTTCCAGCAATTGCTGTGTGCAGTGTTGGGGTAGGCCTCCCTGCACTGAGTGGGTCCTGAAACACACCAGCATGCCTTGCATGGATTCTGTTTCTTCCTGGGACAGGGTCATCCCAGTGGGATGGCAAAACGCTGCCAACAGTCTTGGCAAACAGGCTGCCGTGGTGTGAACTCTTGCTCCAAGTGAGCTGGTCTCCGGGTATACTGTTGTTATTTGCAGAACCTAATGGACTCTTCCCAGTGGCAGAGCTCAAGGCTGGGCGGGCAGGAGGTAGCTCAGAGGGAGAGGCAGGGGAGACTTTGGACTTTGACTGCCTGAGTTCGTGTCACTCTCAGCCCCCTCGCTTCCCTTCATGCTGGTCCATGACCTCAAAGCAAGACACCTTCCTGAACCTCAGTCTCTCCATCTGTGAAATGGGTCAAATTCCGGTTTTGAAGAGTTCACGATGGGAAAGAAACAGTGATGCCCAAGAAGCGTGCAGCCGGGGGTGACGCCGAGGACTCCGAGGCTGAGACCTCCTGTCCCTTCAGGGTCCCCCCTCAAAGGGTCAAAAGCATGCCTATCCAACCCAAGTGAAAAAGTGACTGTATCTGAACACGTGACTCTGTTTCTCGGGTTGGAGGCATGGCCAGAAGCACAGTGAGCTCAGGTCCATGCCCACCTTTTGAGCCCCGGCCCCGGGGAGGCTGCTCTGGTGTGCACTTCTGGCCGGTGGAAGGCGTTCACTCTGTTGTCCTTTTCTTTGGTTTTCTTTGGTTTCTGAGTGCTGTGTAAAGCAGGGCCCCACGACAAACGTGGTGAGCTGCCTTCACAAACAGACGCTTCCCTTCCAGCTGCCAGGCGACTGGACGTGGAGGACAGCACTTTTGATCAGGACAGCAGGAAGGTAACGAGGGGGGCCACGGTCCTGCAGGGTGGGATGGCTCCTCCAGCCGCACCTCCTCCTTCTCTTACTGGGCTCCTAGGGTCCCGGGAGGCCCAAGGTGGGAGCCACACCCACCTGCCTCCTACCCTCAAATGAGCACATGCTCTGCCAGTGTCCAGGTCGTGGTTCCGGAACTGAGAGGTGTAAACTCTGATAAGGAAACAAGCCCAGTGCGTTCTGGGGGTATTTGACGTGAAGGGTCTAGAACAGCTTGGCAGGTGTTTTTTTTTTTTTTTTTTTTTTTTTTAATAAATGGCCAGAGTAGTGTCGTAGACCTTTCTGATATACTACTTTGATGTGGCCAGCCATGCTGTGAAAGCGGCCAGAGATGATGGGGTGGGGGGCATCACAACAGCCCGCCGCGGGCCACATCTGGCCATCCCTCCAGCTGCTTCCCAAACTTGCAGGAGTGTATGAATGTGTACCTTCAATAGCGAGCCTGGTGCTAAAAGCAGTGGGGTCAGCTTGTGAGGCAGAAGGACAGACGTTACTAGAAGGTTCTGGTGGGGAGTTTTCACCGTGACAGACTACCTCAGTGTTCCCATAACTTTCTGTTCCTCTGCAGAAGACCACCTGGCTGCTCCTCAAGGGAGATACAGACACCAGAACAAACTCTCCAGACCTGGACAGCCAGTCTCTGTCCCTCAGCAGCGGCGCCGAGCGCGAATCCCTGCAGAGGATGCCTGGGGACAGCCTCTTCTCACGTGAGTGGCTCTTCTGATGTGCACTGGAGACTGCCAGCAAAGGGCCCCCAGTGAGTGGGCCCCCAAATCTCAGAGACAGCATGCAATCCCAGTATTTAGGAGACTGAGGCAGAAGGATTGCTGTGAGTTTGAGGCCAAGCCTGAGCTGCATGCGGGGACTCTGTCTCAAAAATAAAAATTAAAATAAAATCCACCCAAAGAGCATTCATATGTGAATCAAGCCAACCTAATGGCCTCAGCCACCACTCTCTGCAGTGACACAGCTAGCTAGTATGCACACAGCGCCCCCTTGTGGCTCTCTCAGAGCTGGCATGAAAGCAAAGAGAACAGTTCTCAAGGCCTCTTTCCCTTTGGGGCAGATGTGGTCATGGTCAGGGGGCGAGTCCAGACCTGGAACTGGTACGAGGCACTGTCCTGGTCCCTGTGACATCCTGAGCAAGGCACTTGAAGATTCCTAGGAGATGTGGCCCTGCGTCACAGGCAACAAAGCTGGCATCTGTCTAGCCCTGGGGGTGTTGTGAAGCCTGGCTTGGGGGGGGATTCTCAAGTATGGAGTAAATTGCCCATAGCATTGCCCATTGCATAGTGAGACTGGTACTAAAAGCAGTGAGAGCTGGCTTGTAAGGTAGAAGTACAGATGTTACTAGAAGGTTCTGGTGGGGTGTTTTCACCATGACAGATGACCATTACCCACTGGGGATGCTGTAGGTCACAGACAGAGCCAGCACAGGCTGCAGGCAGATTTAGGTTCTCCAAGAAGCAGCCTGTGGTCTAAGCTGGGCAGGGGGTTGCTTTCTCTGTCTATGGTTGGAAGTTGAGATCATGAGAATCTATGTGGTGTTAAAAAAAAAAAAAACAGAGGAAGCCCCCGGCATCATGGTGGCAGGACTCTGAGTGAATTTGGAGCTCTCTGATGACTGGCTTATGATAGAGGCCAGAGCAGAAATGCTGACTCTTGGGTCTCTAGGTCCTGTTTTGCAAGAGCGCTTTGGCTGGCCAGCAGCAAACAGCCATGGCTTTTCCCACCCACCTTCCCTGCTGGCCACGATGGCACTCTCTGACCACTGCACACTGGAGGTGCCCTGCAGTGGAGGGAGGCGTGGAGATGCAGACAGTCGGATATTGTGGCTAACGGGAAATGGATATGCTGTTCTGTATGGGGTCTTTGTAAGCAGATGAGGTCCCTTGGGATCTCAGAGCATGCTCACAAGGCTGATGTCAACTGTGAGGGCACATCAAATGGCCCCATAGGTCTAGGTCCTCCTATAGGTTCTTTTGGGGGAGGAACAAGCTGCAGTCATGGTGAGAGGAGGTGGAGATCCCGCGTACCTGCCTGTGCCTACTGGGGTGCCTTCATGCCACTCCTCAGCCTTCTGTCCCAAGGATCCTCCTGATGGATGTGCACGCGTGCTTTGAGGCACTTGCGTCTGAGTAATGGAGGCTCCTTCACATAGCAGAGCCTAGGGGTTGCCCATAGCATAGCTCTTACTGCCCTGTGTGGTGTCCTGGGGGCCAAAAATTTATATTGGTATTTCAGGACGGTGTTTTCCAGTTTCTGGTCTTTGCTTTGTTAGGGAAGTGCCTGGTTCCATTCCCATGACCTCACCCAGACTCCCCACTGGAGCGTATGGACTGCCCGTGGCTCTGGACTGGGGGAAGTATGGACTGCCCGTGGCTCTGGACTGGGGGGAGGGGAGGGACGGGACACAGTGTGGGAAGAAGCCCAGCTGGAGATGTTACTTCTCGGGGTCCTGCTTCTGCTGTCACTACGCTGTGTGGCCTGTGCATGCATCCTCTGCCTCTCTGTAGTACTTTCTCATCGGCTGACGCCAGAACGAGGGTGCTCATCCCAGGCACCGTTGAGTGTGGTACCCTGAGAGGCAGGCTGCTCCAGGTGTCCACAGTGACAAGGGCTTGCCTGCCATCCATTCCTCCACCGCATCCCTGCAGCAAGCCAACAGAAGTGGTGTGGACAGGAAGTAGCTGTTGTGTGGGCGCACTGGCCCGTGGGAACCCAGCCACCTGTGCTTGGACCTGGGCGCTTGTTATGTGCCGACAGTCATGACTACATCCTCCGGCCTCTGCTTTCCCCTGGTGTCCTGACTTCAGGTCTCCCCAGCAGGAAGCCCACAGGGCATAGCGTTGTGCCTGTGCCTTTACCTCTGTCCCAGAAGCACTGCACAGTCCTCTGCCAGGCACTGCTGTCCTATCAGTGGGGCTCGTGTTTTACTCCAGATGTGTTTGCTTCCCTTCTGTATCCCATGTTTCCCGGTTCTGTGCGTGGTCATCAGTGACTGCCTGAGTCTGCACAAAAGCAGACAAGGTTGGCTTTTGTTGTAAGAAGAGAGCCTTGAAGTCCTTACATATAGAGTGAGATTTGATGCCCTGAGTCTCCTCCGTAGTTTTCACCCTATGGACACATGTCTTCTAAGCCCCACGTTCCTGACCTTTTCTGTCCTATCCTCTCTTTTGAGGTCCCTCACTCACAGATGTGAATACAGATGTGCATGCACAGACACAGGCGTGGTAGTCAGAGATCTGGTGGTATAATTCAAGCACCCTGGCTGTAGAAGACACAATGTCCAGGGGTTTCAATGGTTCTTAGCAAGGCCCAAAGATTCCAGAGGGAGCAAACCCCTGCTTTACATCACCAGGTGAAGAGAAAGGTAGGAGTCGTTCAGGGTGGCTTGGGGCTTGGAGACAAATGAGGAAGTCTCTCTGGCTTAGCAATTCAGGAAGTACGGGGAGACTTCAGTGGGAGCCACTTCACCCCAGCCTGGACTCTGTATTCTTCAGCATGAGGCCCCTGTGGTGTGTGGAGTAGTGGAATGTGCCAGTCTCTGCTCCTTAGCTCATTGCCCTCCCCTTGAGCCATTCAGCAGCAGCCAGCCACAGGACAGGTCTCTGGGACTCTATTCTCTTCCAAAGGAGGGAAGGAGAGGGAGGGATGGAGAAAGGAAGGGAGGGAAGGAGGAAGGAAGGAAGAAAGGAAGGAAGGAAGGACCAATCTTTCCCTTCACCCCTTTACCCCCGCAGAGTTCATGATGAGAAAGAGCTGCCCTGCATTCCCTATTCTGTGGTTAAGAAGAGCAGACTCCTCCTCCCTGGGACTACTGAGTGGGGTAGCCAAGTGCCTGGTGGTAGAGCTGTGGCTAAGACCCCTGGGTGATAGAGTCCACAGATGGCAGAACTGGAAGATCTTTGGCATTTCCAGTGCCAAATCAGAGTCCAGATGAGCAGGAGCAGTCCAGTCACCTAGCACACAGTCCTTGAACACCTTCTATGACCCAGACTGTTCTAGGTGTGGAGCCAGAGCTGGGCCTGAAGCAGAAGAGGCCTCTTGTCCTGTGGCACTGCAGTGAGATGGGACAAGTCAGGTGACATATGGGTTGGCTGCTAGGGCATGCTGGGAAAGGTGTCATGGGAATATAAGAAGTCCGTGGGGAGGAGGCTGGTATCCAGCAGGCCTCAAGATGTGGTCCTGGAAGCAGTGAATGCTTGGGAAGGGCTGATCCAGCTGAGGGTGGAGGCAGGGCTAGCATGCCCAAGTGCATGGCTAGGCCATTGTTACCAGCCCCCTCCCCACCCTGGTCAATGACAGCCCCACAGGACTTTTCACTTTCTCCCATGAGCTGGGACCAAGTTGGTGGAGGGTGACAGGAGATGGCTGCCAGCATCTGTGTGAGGGAGATATTCTGGACAGTGCACAGCATACGTGAAGGTTTGGGGATTGGATTTTGCAGAGCTCCAGGAGACACAATGGTATAGTGTGAGAGGGACTAGCCAGATGCAAAATAAGAACAGGCATGGCTTTCAGGAGAGCTCTGAAGGTGACGAGCACGTCCAAGAAACCAAAAGAGAAATTGACACAGAGCACTGAACCTGTATCTGCGTCCAGCTGGTGGAGTCCCAGCTAGGCACTGCTGAGTGACCTTGGGTCCCTAACAAGCCTCTATGGTATGAAATTTCCTTATCTACAACAATGAGCATGATCCAGGAACCTACAGGATGAGTGGCTGACACCTGGGCCTGTGGTCCTGTTGAGGACATTCAGGTAGAACACTCAGACTCACATGCCAGACTGCAGCGAGCCTGCAGCCACCAGCTCAAGCCTGCCCCACCGGTTTCCACATCCCGACGCTCATGTGCCCAGGGACATTGAGTTCTGATGTTCAGAGCTGAGAGGAGCTCCCCTGCACAGAGCAGGCAGTGGCGGTCACATCCTGGACCCCAGCAAAGGGATGGCAGCTTGCTGTGGCTTGCCAGTCAGTTGTCAGAAGAACGACCTCGGATGTTGTGAGAGCCCTGCACTCTCACTGCCTCAGGAACACATGCTATCTCTCCCAGTCACACATCTTGAGTCTTCAGTGGCTGTCTGGATCTCTTAGGAGCCATCCTAGAGGAGGATAGAGCCAGGAACAGAGCCAACTCCAAGAGCAGCCGGCAGCATGCTTCAGAGCAGCTGTGGGTGGCCTGAGAGCTGGTGCAGGGCTCTGTACTTAGGTTAAGCCTGGGCCTAGCCCGGGAGTTGGGGGTGTCCGGTGCCTAAAGGGCCTGATATAACTTAGGGTCAAGAGCACACAGCTGGGAACCTGTTTCCGTAGTGTAGTGGTTATCACGTTCGTCTCACACACACAGCTGGGAACTTACTCGGGATCCTCTGTCCTCTGTACCTGTCTCTTCTTGTGCACGCCCATTTCTCTCTGGCATCCACACTGGACCACACACTCTTGAAGGCCATCTGACCACATCAGATATGCAGGTCCCTAGAAGACCTGCTAAGGCCATTTGATCTTTGTGCAGGTCACTCGATCTCCCCAGGTCCCAGCTCCCTTGTGTTCAAGGTGCAGAGGCACTTAAGCATGGGCTTGACACTCTGAATGTGTGAAGGGATTTTATTTATTTATCTATCTATTTTAAGATTTATGTTTATTTATTTATTATGTAAACAGCGTTCTGTCTGCAGGTCAGAAGAGGGCCTCAGATCTCATTATAGATGGTTGTGAGCCACCATGTGGCTGCTGGGAATTGAACTCAGGACCTCTGGAAGAACAGCCAGTGCTCCTAACCTCTGAGCCATCTCTCCAGTCCCTGTGTGGAAGAATTTTAAATACAAAAATTATCTGTTTTGTTGCACGCGGGACTCTGGAACCTTTAAAGTCACACAGCATATGAGTCTTCCCTCAGAGAGATGGAGTGTAACAAGACCTAGATAGCAACTCAGAGGGCAGGAACTCCCAGAGTAGACACGCCTGTCCAGCTCTCCCTGCTAAGTACACCTGAAAGAAGGGGACTATAGCAGAGCAAGCAGCACATGGTGGGAAGGAGGGAGAGGCTGGCCACATCTACAGGGGCAGGGAGGGGTATGGAGCAGGAGGCGTGCAGAGAGGAGGCCCAGGGAGATGGTCTTCTGCCTCCAAGCTGGTGCGACAAACACACAGGAAGCTCTATCAAGGACTGGGATAGGGTGGGCACCAGCAACCCCAGGCAAGCTGAGAAGAATGGAGTAGTGTACTATTAAGCACCCTGAAAAATGATGACCATGGGAACCAGTCTGTATGCCCGGTCCTGCACACTGGGCCCAACAGAACTGTGGCCTGTTAAAATGGAAGACTACCTAAGATCCCATCTCTCATCCCAACAACTGAATATTCAGGATTCATTCAAAAAATTGCAACACCAGACTTGAATTCTGGGAAGACATGGTGTTGACGTCATCTGACAAGAATTCTAAGACATCCGTCACAAAGATGCTCCAGAGAGCAGTTGTGTCAAACCTGGAACAGAGAAAAAGTCTCACCAAAGAAACTCAAATCACTTTGAAAAGGAATCAGCTGGGAACTGACATTGAACTGAAACGTAAAATAATGTAAAAACCGGTTGTGTGGGTCCAGGGACAGAATAACCGACTCTAACAGAGGACGTTGGGATCTTCGTTCTGGTGTGAGAAGGAAAACAAGCACCAGGGACCTGGGAAATGGTGCTTGTGTCTTTCAGTTCCCTGACGGGGAGAAAGAATGGGTTAGAAACATTCAAAGCATCAATGGCTGAAAACCTCGCAGACTCAGCAGAAGGCGTAAATCTGCAAGGTCAAGAAACTGAGTGAAGCCGGAAGATCAACCAAGAAGTCCACACCAAGATGTGGTACTAAACTCCTGAACGCTAAGTTAAAAAAAAAAAACTTGGTGGAAGTCACAGTGAGCAAGGCGATGTCATCTCCAGGAAGCACTAGTTGGTGGCAGCTGACTCCACAGGGAAGCCACAGGGGCCGGAAGCGAGTGGCATGTCTTCCTGCGCTAACGGGAAGGCCTGTCTGCGAGTTCTGCCTTCGCTGGGAATATGCTTCTGGACGGAAGGCACCGGGATCTGCTCAGATGAGGGAAAGCTGAGGGAAGCTGTGGCCTTCTCCAGAAAGAAAATGATAGCTGCACAGGCCTAAAACCTCAGAAAGGGAAACGCCTAGCAAAGAGGGAGGGGTAGCATGGCCACCAATCCTCTTCTCAAGGTTATTTTTTTAACTGTTGTGTGTGTATGGGTGTTTTTCCTGCATGAATGACATGTACCATGTGCCCATAGAAGCCAGAGAAGAGTGTTGCATATGGTTGTGAGCCACTATGGGGCACTGGGAATCAAGCTTGAGCGCTCTTAACTGCTGAACCATCAGCCCCATGTTCCCACACTGAAAGGAAAAAGCACGAGCAGACCTGGAGAGATGGCTCCGTAAGAGCGTTGCTTTGTTGCAGAGGGCCGAGGCTCAGATGCCGGCACCCACACTGGACAGCCCAAAACTACCTGTAGCTCCGGCTCCAGGGGCTCTGACCTCCTCCTCTGGCCTATGGGTGCCAGCACTGAAAATGCCACCCTTCCCCCCTCTCCCACACACATACATCATTAAAAATAAAGTGAATCTTTATTTTTAATTGCACAGCCCTGTCTGGGATAGTTGTTAGGAATGTGGGAGACACACGTGGTCTATGGAAATAAGGTTGCCACCGTGTGGGAGAGGTTGAATGAAGATTGAGCCTGGGAAGGCCATGTGCAGCCCCTGACTAGAGGGTCAGAAACACAGTTGAGACATTTGCTGTTCTTGTTCACCCAAAAGGCCTGGGAGGCTGGTAGAATCATAGGCTTCTGACTCAGTAGGGTCTGAGTGGAGCTGAGAATCCACCCAACAGACACGTTCTTTATTGCTGCTAACCTCCTCTTTGAGAAGAACTGCATCTGGCAACTTCAGCAGGCATGGGCTCCGGGTCCTCAGTGGGTCCCTTGGGGCAGGGTCCCTGAACCCACAAGGAACCTCAATGTGATGCCTGGCTTGGCATGCTTAGCAGGAGTGGTGGACAGGATGGGGTGGGCATCTTTGTACCTGGTACTCACGCCAGTCCTCGGTGACACCTGTGAATGGGGCGGGGGTGCCAGCCTTTCCCTGGCTTCCCAGTAGCTCCCATGACATTTGACCTCATGCTAGTGAGCATCAAGGACCCCTGTGTTTCTGCCTAGCCCATTCCATTTCAAGAGAAGAAGTAATCCCTATCTGAGTTTGACATTCCAACCTCAAAGATCCCCAGCCCCATTTAGCTGGCGGTGGCCATCATAGCACAGGACGGCACCGTCCTATCTAGCCTAGGATGTCCTGAGTCTGGGAGAGCAGCTAGCCTGGGAGATGTGATACTTGTGTACCAGCTGGGCTGGGCCCCATTCCTATGATGTTCGTGGTGTGAATAACTGGCTCACATGTCCCCCTCTGTGTCCTCGGGATAGAAAGTCATAAACAAGGCAGGCAGAGTATCTTTAGTGGCCTCTGTTGTCAGCTGCCTAGTCCTGTCTCTGTTGGAAGCGTCACGGGCCCTGCCCTCCCCTGGCCTGGCTGAGTGTGTGACAAGGCTGTGCTGTGTCTGTTACAGGCTTCCCTTATTCCAAACCCGACTCTCTCCCAGGACCCAGGAAGGATGGCCTGGACCTCCGGGTAGGTACTTGGACCCTCCCTACCTGTGGGACACTAACCACCACTTGCTGCCTACCTGCACTAGTTCCCCTAGCTTTGTGACCTCACAGCCAGAAGAGGCAGGAATCCTGCTTGCCCATCTGCCTCTGCCTGATGCTCTCTCCCAGATGTGCCACTGTAGCTTTTCCGTGTTGAGTGACCAGACCACACCCAGCCATACTCTGGCTTCTCTCTGCTGTGCCCCAGAAACCAAGGTGTCCCCAGTGTGCTTCAAGGCAGGGGAGATGTAGGTCACCCAGAGTGACTAGTGCTGCTTTGAGTTGCTCTTCAATTCCTCCTCTTTTGTCAGGGGCTAGAGCCAGCCAAGTCTGTAATGTTTCTGTGCCCATGGAGCCATACCCATCCCATGACACTACCACGTGGTCACTAGGAATATTTCCTTACACCCTTCCCAGTCTCAAGGCCTTCAGCCTGCCACCCCAAAGAGAGCCTGGCATGTGCCCTGGTGCAGTGCCCTTTATGAGGAACCTATAGCCATGCTGGCTCTCAGTGAATATCTGTAGTCTGGGGTGTCCTAATGATCCAGAACCCCCAAGCCTCATGTGGCTCCCGGAGAACCTCCATCATCCAAGAGGTTTTTTCCTGGTGTTAGGAAGTTTATATATAAACCAAGACAATTCACTTCTTAAGAGAATCAGGTGGGGTGTGTGTGTGTGTGTGTGTGTGTGTGTGTGTGTGTGTGTGTGTGTGTGTGTGTGTGGTGCTGGAGTGGTCTTATCAAAATGTGAACTCAGGGCCAAATGTCTGGAATACCCTTCTCTCTAAGGCTCTGGGGCACTCACAGAACCAGGGAGACATCTCCAGAGGCTGTGTCCTTTGGGACAAGCCATTGTTTTCTCTATCTTCCCAGGCTCTGATTTTCTGTTTCTGTCCAAGACCCAGCTTCAGGGTGTCCCCATACAATGCCTCCCCATGAATGGAATCCAGAGGACCATGGCTTCCCTCCCGTTAGCCTCTCTTCCTGCTCTGGAATGGACCTTGCATGCTGCCTGCTGCTTTGCCTTTTCTCCAATGGTATTTGTCTTCCACAGGGAAAGCAGCTGGCTAGAAACCACACAGGATTCCTCTGACACCAGATGTAAAACCTTCCACTCAGAGTCAGGGCTCTAAGGGCCGTGAGAACCCTGTCTGTCTTTCTGGAAGGTTCTCTTTTTGCCTGGAACAGTTTCTCTCTAAGCAAGGGGCCCACAGGTGCCAGCATCCTGGCTTGACCTAGCTAATATGTCTCCTGCTCAAGTGAGGTCCTGGGGTTGGGGCTTGCTTGGTGAATGGGAGGAACGTAAGGACACTGGACTGTCAGCATGCCTAGCCTCTGTCCAATCACCCATCTTTGAGAAGGTGATCCCTTGGGAGAGTCTCACCTTGTCTGTTGCATAAGTGAGCTTCTGTGTCTGCAGAGGTCGTGGTTTCTACTGGTTCCTCCTAGTCCAGTTGTGAATAGGTGATCTGGACCCTGATGGGTCCATCTTCATCCTGGAACTACTGTGAATGTCATCTTTAGGACCGAGAAGCAGGCCTTATGTGAACCAGGGAGGGAGAGTGAGCAGACATGAGTGCCCTGGGCTTGAGCTCTGAGTTCTCCCAAGGGTGGAGCCCATCCTCGCAAGAGGAGTTCTGACTTCCCACTTGGCCTTGGGATCCTTTGTCTCTCACCCATGCTCCTGCTCATTCTCACTCCATCTAATACTGGTGTGTACTCCCCTTCCTCCTCAGCAGAAGGCTGGCTATTCCATCACCAGAGCAGCCTTTACAGCCATGCCCAGCAGTTCAAATCTGCCCCCCTGGAGTTCCTGCAGTGCCTGCCCACATTGCTGGTGACTTGCAGTGCCCCAGGATTGTTCACTGGGTGCTTTGTTACCAGAAAGGGTTTGTGTGTGCGTGCAAGTGTGTGCGTGTGCGTGTGTGTCTAGGTCAAAGCACAGATTCAGTGAGCTCAAAATCCAAAAGAGGGAGGCCTCCGGAGAACTTTCTGTCACATACAAAAGGCAGTGTATGAGTAAAGGTGCCAAAGCGTCACTCATGTGTCCTGGTAGTGAAGGCTTGATAGCCATGACCATGACTATCTAGTCACCCTCATCTGAGGGGGCAGGCGTCCTCCCGAGTCTTGATCTAAGAGAATTTTGTCACAGAGACCTAGTGACCCCTAGCTCTGTATATGCAAGGGTCATGAGAATGTCCTGACGCCCAAACCTGCCGCAGGAGGAAGATACAGCTCAGCCGACTAGCAACTGCCTGCCGCAGGTTCCCCTGTGAATGAGGCAGTAATGATTGACATGTGCCACATGGCCCGTCAGTAAGAGGATGGTGACTGGCTACCTGAAGGTCCTTGTGGCTACTCCTTGGAAGAAGTCATGCTTGGAGAAATGCTGATGTTACCTGTGAAGAGACTAAATTCAAACATTAAAAAAAAACCAGGCTGTCAGGTTCGGTTAAAAAATAGCATTATTGTAGTGCGTCATTACAAGACATGCACTAAAAATGCATTCTTGATTAGAAAGGACATGAAAGACGCTAAAATCACAAATGGGAGGTGGGAGCGGTGATGCCGTGGCAAAGTGAAAATAAGTTTCAACTGTTCAGTAAGGCGCAGAATACTGTGTCCCAGTTTTAATGAAGCCGTGACAGGACTCAACACAGAGATCGCAGGCAACTCACGTTGGTGTTCTACATGGTCTTAAAACAGAGATGCAGTCAACAAGAGTTGCTTGAAACTACACTGTAATTCACTCCCAAGCTTAACCCAGGAGGTAAATGCAAAATGTATGCTTTTTCAATCCAGTTTTCATATGTTCATAAAACTCTAAAAATGTTTATGTCCATCAAGCACACCTTTAATCCCAGCACTCGGGAGGCAGAGGCAGGCAAATCTCAGTGGGTTCAAGGCCAGCCTGGTCTGTATAGAAAATTCCAGGATATTCTAGGCTGCATAGTGAGACCCTGTCTCAAAATATTGAAATTCATATTTTAAAGTGTTTATGTTAGGAGGCAGAGGCCAGACGACCAGGAATTTAAGGCCACCCTCAGCTACATAGTGAGTTCAAAGCTAAATCTAAACTGGACTCCATAAGACCTATCTCTGAGAGTCACAGCAAAGGGGGGACTGTTATGTCTGTGACTATAGATCTTCAACTGTGATCCCAGAAAGAGTATGTGTTTCTTAGACAGCCCTGAACTCCCAGCCATCTTGAGGCAAGTTATGGAACGTTCCGAGTCGTTATTTCCTCCAGCCCACCAGGGTGGGGGCGTGAGTCTTATAACTGAGTGATTATGAGAACAGATGTGGCTGTGAGATCTTTCCCCAAGCTCTGTAGCGTGGTTTCCACATGAGTCGGGACTTTAAAAGGAAGTCCCCATCCCCTCTTCGGCACCAGCATCTGCTGAGTCAGGCAGCTCATTCCTCCCTGGCTTTAGCAGGAAAATCACAGCTGCCAGTGTGGGCAGCTGGGATCTCATTCCCGCCAGCAACCATGGTGTAGTCTCGGGAAAGCAAGCACACAGGATCAAACTCCTACAATCCTGTGCATTTTCTATGTGAATTCAGCAAGATTGCTCGACCTCTCTGAGCCTCGTCCGTAAAGCCTGAGGGTGCTTCCTGCTTTGTAGGGTGAAGCAAGGTTGGAGAATGTGTCAGTAAAGCTGGTAAGTGCCCAGATGGGGAAGATGAATAACACGTCACCTTTAAAAATCCTGGCACCTCATTGAGAACCATAGAGGAATTAGCCAGAGCAGCCTTGGCCTGGTTCTCAGCTGTTGGTCGACACGGACAGGTTAGCTCAAGACTTGTTTGCACTGAGTGGTCTATAGAACCACACGGGGCATAGACTCCACTCTTCCTGCTCTAGGCCAAGTCTCTTGTTACTCCCTTTGAAGGATAGTCCACTTGCCATCTTTCCTTTCTTTCCTGGGACCCAGAAGGCTGGAGGAAGCTGGTTCCTTTCTGGGTGATTGACTGCTTGTGATACAAGAGTCAACACTAGGTGGCAGCATTCCTCTTTAGCACAAATCCGGACTGTAAAGGTGGCGGCCAAGGCAGACTGGCCTCCCTTTGACAAGAGGCCTGAGGTGCTGGTCTGAGGTTAAGACAATGTTTCCAAGAGCTGTTTTTGAAGACTTGGAAGGGGAAACGGTGAGAGGTCATGGAGCATTATTGACTGATTCAAAGGCACCTGGCTTAGGACCCAGAGAGGCAAACTAGGGTTGAACCCAAGGATAGTGAAGTAAATCACGTTACTGCCCTGGTGTTAGGCCCAAGTCCACTGGACTTGGTGGTGCACATCTTTAATCCCAGCACTGGGGAGGCAGGGACAGGCAAGGCTCTTTGAGTCTGAGGCCAGCCTGGTCTACATAGTGAGTTTCAGGCCAGTCAAGGCATCTCAACAAACAAACAGAAAACAAAACGAGAGAAACTGGGGGAGAGAGAGAAACCCAAATCCATGTCCAAAAGTCCACGAGAAGCCAAGTATCAGAGATTTGAAATAAAGGCCTGCTTCAACCCTCTGCTTTCCACACTTACCCTCTCACTGGTCGGCCGCAGCCTGCTGGATCCGGCTCTGAGGCAGGAAGGAGGTAATGGCATATCCCTGGGCCTCTGTTTCAGATGAAGGATTTTGGTGTGCAGGGCCCTCTGCTTCAACATTCTCTGGGGTGTGTAGCCTGCTCCCAGCTTGTCGCCTGCTGTAGGTCCGTCAGAAGCAGTTTTTCTCGTAACCGTATGCGCAGGTGGAGCACGTGGTGCCTCTACCTGATGTGCCCTCCTGAAATGCAATCCCTGGGCCCAGTTTCAGAAACTCTGACCGATAGCCCTGACCCTGTTTCAACCCCTGGACTGTGCTAGGGACTGGGAACTCAGCTCACCCCACAGGCCTGGTGCAGACAGTAGGTAAGGCAGGGGCAGGAGTCTGATAAGATGGGGTGGTGCAGCCCCACGGGGGCTTAGTGCACTTTGCAGTGGCGGCCCCTATAGACAGCTTGCACATATGACTTTTTCCAAGTGGACAGAAGAGAGAAAGAACTTTAATGACTATGAGGTCGCTGACATGACAGTTTGCTAATCACAGACATGGGAGATGAGGTCTGTGCCCTAGTCAGGTGACACCCTCCCCCTAAGAATGTCACTTGTTGGGTATTAATGTCAGAGCAAGGCCACTCTGTCCAGGGTGCCAGGGGATTCTGGACACCAAGATTCTTGGCAAGCCTAGAGTTGTGGGGGTGCCTATGGTTTCCAGAGGGAGGCAGAGGCCCTCTTGTCTTGGAGCTTTGGGGTGCATGGACATTGTCACTCTGAGCTGTGTAGCTCGATTGGTCACTGAGGACTCTGAGAATTGGGTGGGGATGATGCATAGCTCCCAGGAGGCAGTGACCAGTGAGTGTCCTTTGCTGTCTTGTAGGCACAGTGGGACTGGGTTGACTCTTGGGTCTACCTAGGGCATGGAACAGCAGACTGTAGTTACTTTTCACAAGGAGGAGCAGGGGCATTACAAACTGTACCCATCACAGTGTGAATACAGGAACTTAGGCCATGCCAGCTAGAGAGCAGGACCCAGACACCAGAGCTCAGTTTTAAAGGTGGGGCAAAGTTGGTCAGACAAGCAGGGTTCAAAGGCTATTGAGGTAGGCATGAAAGCCATACCCACAGGGCAGATACCCTGAGCACTCACCTTCCAAAGCCCAGCTTTGCCATCTGTCTATCACCTAACCCTGTCAAACACCCTCCTCCTCCTCCAGCTGTGTGAGGATCCAGGAAGCATTGGGGGCTGCCTCCCAGCCCCCTACTGCCTACCTCCATGCAACCTGCCTCTTGCCGGCCTCTCTCTCTTTCTCTCTTCCAGAATGCCAACCTGGCCCCTTGTGGAGCAGACCCGGATGCCAGCTGGGGCACGCGAGGTACACACAATGGGGACCCCTGTGGGTCTCTGGCTAGGCCAGAATCCCTGGCACACGTCTACCAGTCTCATTCTGAGGCCGTCCCTCCGGGACCTGCTGGCAGAAGGCTCTGCACCATGGATGAAGGGTCCCCTGGGGATACCTGTTGGCCCCTCAGCACTCTCATCCTGTGCTGCAGGGACCTGTCACGGCTTTTAGGTGCTGGGAATCTCTTGGAGTAGGGCACAGAGTCAAGAGCAGGCAGTGTCCAAGGGCTGAGCCGAACAGTGTAGGTCAAACCCGTTTCCGCCCCTCGTTCACTGTGTGTCTGCTGGCACGTCTGTGGGTGGCCACACGGTCCTGTGGGTGCCCCACTGCCGGATACTCACCTAACTCTGAATAGGGCCATGCACCTGGCCATGCTCGCCTCCTTGTTACCCTCTGGGATGCTGGGGGAGCCCCGCTCTTGTAGACCAATTCACATACAGATGGCAGTGCCAAGGCATCACAACTTGCTCTTAAAGTGGCTGTCCCAGTCTCCAGCCTCAGGGCTGGCGCTTCAGACAGAGTCCCACGTGGGAAGACCAAGAGCCTGCCTCATTTAGGTATCTGGCTTCCAGAGTGATCTGAAGCCAGGATTCTAGTGGTCAGTCCTTCCTGTGTGTGTGGAGCCCCTGCCGTCTGCACCGCTTTACCTTCTATATGATGGCACCTTAAGTCTGAGGAAAGACCTTGTCACAAGGAGTGCACAGTGCAAGGCAGTTTAGAGTAGGAAGCAAAGCATGATGAAGAGGGGTGTGGCTTGGGTGGTAGCATGCTTGCCTCACACACACAAAACTCTGGGTTTTATTCCCAGCAGCACGCAAACTATGCATGATGGTGCACACTGTAACCCCAGCACTTGGGGTGGGAAGGCAGGGGAATCAGGAGTTCAAGGTCACTCTCAGCTATATAGTAAGTTCAAAGTTAACCTAGACTCAGTGAGACCTTGTTTGAAGGGGGGCAGTAGGAGACTGGGGTGACAGGATGCATATTGGTAAAGGTGTCAGACTCCACAACACCTCTCAGAAAGTTTTCCCTGGAGAATCCACTGCATGTCTGGGTAAACTGAGATGGGTATCTTCCTCAGAGTAGCCCAGAACACTAGGAACGACATCTCCCAGCCTAGGAGCACAGTGCCACTACCCAGCTTCCAGTGTGGCCTCCAGCCTCCTGGCCATGCCTCCTGCCCTCAGTATTCCGTAGGAGACCCTTGGTCCCTCCCTTGAAATACAAGACCAGAGGTCCATGAAAGCTGCTCCAGAGACCAGAGGCCAAGCATGGACCCACTGACTGGGGGAGGGGGTTTCCCAGACAGAGGACTGTTCCCATCCTGGGCATGGATTCTTTTATTCCTAAGCCATCCCTGTGGTCTCTGCTCTTCTCTTTTACAGAGTACAAGGTAAGGGGCCTCCTGCACTAACTGACCTCTCCCACCATGATGCACCTGCCCAGGTTAAAAGTTCTTTTTGTTGCATTTTCTGTGTGAAATGTGCTTGTCCACAGCCATACACGTACGTATTCTGGTTTTTTCTTTTGGTCACCCCAGGGGTACTGGCCTCTGAGATAACCCTGTGGTGTCTTCCCTTCAGATATACCCGTATGACTCCCTCATCGTAACAAACCGAATCCGTGTGAAACTGCCCAAAGATGTGGACCGGACGCGGCTGGAGGTAAGGCAAGGTAGGGTGGTATCTGTTGAGACTCTACAGATCTCAGCCGCAGATTCTCTCTCTCTCTGTCTCTGTCTCTCTCTCTCTCTCTCTCTCTCTCTCTCTCTCTCTCTCTCTCTCTCTCTCTCTCTCTCACACACACACACACACACACACACACACACACACACCAGGAGGTGACGCCACTGTGGTGACAGCACAGGGTTCAGATCTAAGACACAGGAATCTTCAAAGGTAAAGGAAAGTGGTTACAGACCCAACTATGCTGGCTCTGCACAGGGGCCCTGGCTTGTGGCTGGAGGAGAGAAGGCTAGGTGGCATGGTGCACCAAGGAGCCCATTGTGGTCCCATCCCAAGTGTGAAAAGATGGGCCAGTTTGAAGAAGAAATTTCTAGGCTTCTGTGCTGATCTAGAACAGGCAGTTCATCTGAGGAACACAAGTGTGTGTCTGAAAGGTCTGTGCAGCTGCAGTGTGAGATTGTGCACTCTGGCCGGGAGGACAGACCCTGCTAAGCACTCTATGGCAAGGCTAAAGTGCCCTATGCATGACTTTCTGTTCCTTCGAAATCACCTGGAAGTCAGCAACATCTGTGAGAGGACTCCTTCCTTGAGCTTTGCACATAGGCACTGCCTTCCCATGTTTCTTGCCCGGGTGAGGACATCTCTAGGCTTCTGAGGGCAAAGGCTACCTCCTACCTGTGCTTTGGGTAAGCACTAGACCCCATCCATCCTTCTCATGGGGGCAGCGGCTTCCTGTGTGGCCAGAAACAGGAATAAGAGAAACAGACTTTGGAGGGGCTTTGGAGGGTCGGTAGAGCAGAAACTCAGTAGCTCCATAAAGAGGTGGCCTCTCAGTTGGGATTGATGGGCCAGGCAGGGACTGTTCTTGGGCACAGAGTGTGAGGGTCCTGTCTGTGTTACACAGAATGAGCTCAGGTTTGTCCAGAGCCAACCAGGACTTTCACAGGCAACAACACAGGGCAGTGTGAGTAAGGCATCTGTGAGCCTGTAGGAGCGGTATCGGGGCAGAATACTGGCTTTCCTCAGTCGTGTGCTTAAGCCTTCATCTCTACTTAGGATGAAAAGCCAGAGCTGCTTAAGTGAGTCATTGAGTCGTCAGAGATCATTTCAAGCCCTTTCCCTGAGGTCTAGTAAACAGTAGTCCCTCTGCACAGGGAGGAGGCAGCAGGACACAGAATACACAACCGTGGCTGCTGCATGGGGTGGTGGTACTCCCTTAGACCTGTGGGTCCTTGGCCTACAGTGACTTACACTGGAAACCAATGGATTCACATGCCTGAAGAGCCCCTGTGGGTATGGATGGATCAAGGACTAAGCAGTATTTGCATGCTTCCTTTACACAGTGAGACTTTCATGTCCCCTCCGAAGCTCAAGGTCTCTGGGGGAGAAAGTCATCTCTCTTATCTGTCCTCATACAACCCACACTGAGCCTCTTGGTGGTCATTATCCCACCCCACCCCTAAACCAACCAGTCCTACACAGGGCATATCATGACCTGAGCAACCAGCTTACCTGGAGTTAAGGGGGCCGCTGGTGTCACCTGAGCTGGAGAGACCCAGGTTGTTCCTGGAAGAAACTGAGACCTGCCATGTGAGATGGAAAGAGGCTGTTGGGCAACAGGCAGGTAGCAAGTGTCGACTGCAGGGAGGGTTGGGGAGGGGACAGCACAGCATAGCAAAACAGAAAGATCTCCAAAAGTAGCTGCTCAGAACAACCAGTCCACATGGTGCATACCCATCATACCAGCCAAGGATCGATCCGTGGATCCAGAGCTCTGGTTAGCAAGATACTTGGAACTCACTGCAATGAGGAAGGGCCGCTGAAGCATTTTTGTGTATTTTGATGTGTGTATCATTCCTGGGAAGGGCCAGCAGCTGGGCTGGCTAGGATGCTGTATGAGATTGGCTGGATAGGGAAAGGCTGGAGGCCACTAAGGGACAGGGCTCTGCCTATGGTCTTGGAGACTGAGCTCCAGAAAGTCCTTGCCTCTGTGTCAAATGTGACATTGGCATCAATGGCACAAAGTGGGGTGTCTGGGCCTCTGGCTGAAGCTGGGCTTTGGATGGTGGGATCATGGCCAAGAGCACAGCTACTGTATAAAGGAAGCACTGCTGGCCATTGGCAGCTCATGGGTCAGGATCCTGTCTGCCGTGTGTCTCGGCTCTTTAAAAGGTGTGTCCTTGCGGGTTACTGAGGGTGCTTGGATGATGGTTAGGTGATGCTCAGAGCTCAGATGATGTCAGTAGCAGCTCCTACAGCCTCCTGAGAGCCTGCTGGGACTCCCTGCTTCCCTTTAGGGACGGGGCGTGTCTCACTGAAGCCAGCTGCAGCCTGGGGAGGGGATTAAACATTTCATATTCAGGTGAACACACACTGTGACTCTCAGCTTTTCTTTCCCTTCAGGCTCAGCAGCCTCAGGAACTGGAACATTTTCTAGTGGGGCACTTCTGTCCTTTGTTCCTTATCAGCTTGGAGACAGGGGTGTGGCTCTGGAAGGAGTATGGTGGGGCTTTCTTGCAGGACCAGACACCCCTCTCAACTCCCACCCCATGTGTGTGTCATGGGAGAGAACTTTAGGTTTATAGTGAAACCAAGTTACAACTTGTAAAGATCCAGACAGCTACAAAGAGGAATGAGAAGTAGAAAAGCCTGGGAGTCCCCACTGCCATCTCTTCACAGTGGACAAGCTTCCACAAATCTCTCTTGTACGACTCTGACAGTAACCAAACTGTGTTTTGGGTAAGAAAGGCTCCCTGTATACTCAACTCAACACCCACTTTCCCCCTGGGGTTTGATACAGACCTTTTCTGGTCAATCCATGGCATTCTGCTCTCACCCGGCCAAGCAGGCACAGGAAGGCTAGCTTCCTGAAGGGTCCTAAGGATAGCGTTGCCACTCACAGGTTCATTGGCTGAGCTTGTCACATGGCATCACTTGCTGCAAGGCAGGCGGGGAAGTGAAGTTAGCTATGTGCAGGAAGAGGGTGTAGATGCGGATAGCAGCAGACGGTGTCCTCGGTAGCTCTGCAGGATTTGTCCCCTGACTGACTGTTATCATTGAAACCCAGTGTCACAGTTGACAGCCAAGTGCCCCAATCATTCATAGACATGGGCACTGACTGGGACCCCAGGGAAGTCTTTGAGCAAAACCAGACATGAGCTCTGCCCTGGTAGAGAGGTGTCTGTCAACTGATTATCCAAAAGAATATTATAATGACGTGCCAGCATTAGTGATCTGAAGGCCAGAAACCTGGGCCTCTCTGTTTCAAATGAGCAGATAATAATGGTGTAATTAAGCAAACTTGAATGTGTGTGCCTGAGTGTGTGAGGGTTTGATTAATAAACTACATGTGCAAAGGCCAGGGAGCAGAAGGGAACATGGGCTGTTTGAGGAAGTGAACCTACAAGAGTAGACCTGAGCAGGTAGAGGGAAGGATAGAACTGGCCTCACAGGGCCCTGGGCTGCGCTAGCTAGGCAGTTTGGCTGTTAGCCTGGTGACAGTAACAAGATTTGGCTTGCAGTTTACAACATGCCCTGTGGCTGTGTTGTGGAGTTTAGCTGGCAGTGGGTACAGAGGGAGACGTTAGGGGCAGTGTGAGTCATCTAGAAAGCATGATGGTAACTTGGATAAGGTAGCATGCCTGCAGGTGAGATGTAGATTAATTCAGCCATGTTTGGGAAGTCACAGACCCTAAACATGAAGACTGCGCTGTGGTCAGACTGGGTGGGATGGGATGTGGTTATCTCCCAGAAAAACAGGGTACACTGGGACCAAAGGTGATGGCATTTGGGCACAGCCTGGCAGCAGGTAAAGGTGCCACACAGGTGGCCAGTCCTGCACAGTGTGTGATGAAGGTCAGTGAGTTGTGTTCCGGTTGTTCCTCTTTGACTCCGCAGGGAGTCAAGTGCTTCACACGACATCCACACATGGAGCAAAGGCCAAGTCTCCGTCCTCGAACGTGGAGCTCTGTGTCCTGGAAGATCTAAATCTCAGCCCTTGGCCATAGTACACCTAGGGCCTCCTTCCCAGAGGGACCCAGTCCCCAGTGTGTTCTAAATGCTTGAATTCTGAAGACCTTCTGGGCCCAGAGTTCCCAGTCCAAGGGATGGGATCTCTATTGGCCCCAGATGGAATGACATGTCCTAATCTGAGCCATTCACTGCATGCCCTGCCCTGTTCATCAAAGGTAGCATTGTTTTGCTTCCAAGGTAATCTTCTGCCATCCCCAATAGTGTCATGGAAGGGGCTGAGCACTTGGAGTTAGTGTGAGCTGATGTGAACCTAGTCTCCGTAATGTCTGCCTGTGTGGCTATGGACAAGTAACTTAACCATACTGGGCCTGGTCTCTGTCAGTAGACAAGGGTTGCACCTGTCCTCTGGACAGTTGCAAGCATTTAAACGGGGGCTCAGAAATACTTAATTGAGCATCTACAGTGTTAAGCAGCAGGTAGACACCGTGTGCACCCCATCCTCCAAACTGAATGATAACCCTGAGTGATAACCAAGCTTGCCATGGAAAATGGCCATGAATGTAGCCCAAAATGATGATTGCTGAAAACAGGAAGAACTAGTGTCACTCTGTACATGGATGCAGGGCCATGCAGTCCGCTGTGGGAGAAACGTGCTTTCACGGTGCTGTGTGGCAGACTTAGCGTGAACAAGGCTAAGCAGTGCAGATAGTGCTGCTGCCCCTTCTGTGTGGTCGGCTCCATTCCAAGCACACGGCGTATTTTAACACTTCTTTCACAGCACCACAAGGCATCCAGATGGCTTCCAGGGCCATAGTTCCCAAGAGGCAGAGATGGGATTCAGCACTCAGAGCCACTCGGCTAGCCTGCCTTCTAGATCAATTACAATATGTAGATGAATTGCCAAACGAACCTGTCTTTAAATTGCTTTTCTCATAATTTTTCCACAACTACGAAGACTGACACACAGACCCTAGATACATGCATTCATACACATGCACACAAACACA